GAGAGAGAGAGAGAGAGAGGAGAGAGAGAGAGAGAGAGAGACGACAATCGTTTTCATCCAAACCACCTTCAGAACCCTTGGAAATTCGGAGTCCAGGACCATCCAAGGGGTGGTTTGCGGACACCCCTTAACAGCTAAGGGGCTATAAATAGACACCCCTTGGAGGGTCCTGGTATATAGACCTTTCCGTGGACCATAACCCTTGGGACATCGAACTTGTCGGGAGACACCAATGATCCGAGGAATTGGGACTAAGTGGCAATCTGAGCATTTTGGACCTCAAAACATCTCTGACATGTGCCAGGCAGTGCCCTTTTTCCCTGTCGGATTTAAATGGGTTCCAGCTTCGACATTCTCCTCCAGATTTGGCCAGTCCATTTTCAGTCAAGTGAAAGAGGACATCCTGACGTTTCGCCTTGTATGTGCTTGGCTTCACTCGGCTTCCAAGCCCCCGTGACCTTGTTGAAAGGCCATCGCTTGTACCAAACAATTCTTACCACTATTCCGTTTAGGATCTCCGGATATGCCTTTTTTGATGGGTCCCCTGCCGTGATCACCCACAGAAGACGGAAGAGGTATTCCCCTTCATCTCGGGGTCCTGTTGGGGTGCAATACCTGCAATTATATTGCTTGGTCCGTCGTGGCTTGACGAAGAAGACACCAAACACTAAAGAAAAGCCTTAAACCCTGACTGTTTTTTTTTTTTTTTTTTAATAGTTCGAAAAAAGGTCCCTGTTACCAGCCTTCGATGAAGATTAATGAGTGAGGTGTATTTGGGAGTCTCTTTTCAACATTCCCATGAGAACCACGTGGCCGGCCCGACCTCTTCGGCCACGTGCCGTGCCGGCACGCGCGTGCCGTGCCGTGCCCTGGGGCCCGATCCGGAGCCGGGGGCGACATGGTTCGGAAGCCCAGGCCGTGGCACGGATCAAGGACTTCCTGCTGCAGAAGGTGAACTCCTTGAAGAAACCAAAGACCGAGTTGGGAGCTTCAATCGAACTGCTGGAACGTCCCAAGAAGAAGAAGACATGGGGCTTCTTGGAAATAGAGGGTGAAGCAAGGAATTCTTGGAAGTTCGACCTTTGATCCCAAGATCTGCAGGAGATGCTGGCTTGTTGGTTGCTGGTTCAATCCAATTTGTTCTTGCCTCTTGTCTTTGGTCCACAAAAGCACCCCAAAGACGGTTGTGTTGTTTCCGACATGCCGTGGGTTTGTCCTTCCCATCCCGCCACAGTCCCGCCAGCACCACCTCCAGTCCCGCCTCCGCCTGCCTCCAGGACGAACCTACAAATCTTGCAGCGCAACGTCTTGGTTCGCTTCAAGTCGATGACTCAGCCGGGAGCCCCTGGGGCGCGTGGCCAAACGGCCCGTGACGGAGATGGGTGGGACTGGGCACCGGGAGTGGAGAAGGGAAGGGGATGGGATGAGAAGGGATTTTTGGGGCTCAAGCCGGGTCAGTTGGTAAACTGAGTGGCTGATTGATGCTTTTCAGCCCAGAAACATGCTCAGAGGTTAACAACAAATCAAAAAAGGGCGTTCAGGATGCTCAGTGATTTCTGGAATGGTGCATGGAGCTATAGTCCCGCTGAGACCATCGATTGCAGCCATCCAGAAAGACCTTGCCACAAGCTGGAACCTGGTTTATACTACATGCATATATGTTTATCTAGATCGGACCAATAAAATGAATGTGTGCCAAGAGCCCTGGCAGGAGATTATATGGGCCATATCCCACCATCAATCAATTTTGCTCAATATTAGATTGGTCCTGACCGGAGCTTTTTTCAGATCCAGTGAAAAAGGCGTTGGTCGCTGTGACTAGCGGTGAAGCTCAGATTTGATTGACATTGAATGAAGTGTTTTTTGTTAATCCAGAAACTGCAGCAATAAAGTCAGAACAACCTTAGGAATTGAGCCCAGAGTCCTAAGGAGGTGCATACCTCTTCAATCAACAGGGCAACTTCCTACGAATACGCCCATCCAGCCTGCAGCTTCCCATCACATCGGCTCCCCCCCCAGGTTTTTGGCTGAACACCACGCCGCAGTCGCGGAAGAGGTGAAGGGACACTATGTGGTAACCATGAGTCGTGGCCCCGAGTCGAAGTCCTACCGGACTCGCCGTTCGACACTCGACGACGAAGTCCGTCGCATCGAAGATGGGTGTGGAAATCGAGAGGGAATTGCAGGAACCCCCATCCATAACCCATGCTTTCGGTCCTTGTCTTTTAATTATGATTTAACATTTTGCTGGTGTGTGGTTGCCATCGGGGTTGCTATTCTGTGTGCCAGATGGTTCCGGTCTGTGCACGTGGTGGATGCTCAGGTTCGTTATATATTATTGCACGGCAGATCGTTTTTTCAATGGACATGCAGATCGAGTAGGGAGTTGCACCGCAGATTTGCTCAAATGGACATGCAGATAGACTGGAAATGACATGATGAAATGAACATGTGAGGATCTTTGAGGCAATCCCAGCATGGATGACACAGACCTAACAACTTGGAATGATCGAGCACCAGACAGAAACGTGACAAGCTCGGTCGGTACCTGGGTAGAGCCCAAGAGACCACCACTGTAAACGGGAGAACATCTCCAAAAATAAGCTGGATGGCACAAACCCACCACTCCTTACGTTAGATGAAGATCCTGTCTACCCGGCCGCTCTTTCGGCTGATCATCCAAATCGGTTGCAGCTCTAGCGGAGCCGCCATGTCACAAGCACAAGGTGCCGAAAACAAATGAAGAAACTCTGAAGAGGACGCCAATGGAAAGGGGGAGACCCCCCACGCCTACGCCCTGGAAAGGAAGAGCAACCAGTTGACCCCATCGTTGGGGGTCTATTTAAACACGTGCCCATGCGTTTCCATGGCTTCTCGGAGGTGGAGAGCTCCAGATTGCATACTCCATCGTCCTCCAGCCAAAGCTGAGATATCGACCCCTTTGGATCTCTTCCTGGTTGCGGAAATGGTCAGTGGTATTGGACCCCTGACTTTGCATGCAAGGGGCACCCCAAGCCAGCTTCAACCCTCGATCTGGAGTCCAGTCTCATGAGAATGAGAAAGAAGGCTTGATGTTCTTCGATTCTGTTGTTGACTTGTTTCTGCCAAACTTGCGTTGCTATTATGTTTGTAGTACCATGCTGAATTCCGGGTTCTGATGAAGTAGTAGTCTTGCTGAGCATTATATTCAACCCGCTTCGTGAAGATGGAGATGCCAGATGATGCCAGAGTGTTCTGAACTTGCCAATGGGTTCGGGTTTTAGGGCTGGAAGAATGCCTCCTGAGCGAAATCATCTCTATAGGAAATCTTGAGGATTTCAGGATCTTAATTTCAATCTATAAATCCTGCAAACAAAGCACTGTGACCAATCTTAAAAATAAAACGAGAGGAATACCTCATGCGCGGTGTCTCGGGTTCGCCGCGGCATGTGCACCGTGAAGTCGGAGGTGTATGAAGAGATGGGGAGCGTTGCAGAGGAGTGGGATGCAGGTCATACGTTGAGTGCTTTGCTGCAGATTCCGAGGATTCACTTGTGCTTTTGGCTCAGGCGATGACCCTCATTTTCCGGGATGCCAAGATTCCAAGATCTCAATGGCTGGCTGGCGTTGCAGTAGAACATGATGCATATGTCCATAGCCCAAAGCTTGCAGGCGCAGTGCGTTCAGAGGTGTGGCTGAACCAGAAGTTGTTACAGAGATCTGCTGGCCAACACATGAACGCTGGAGCTTGATTGGCCGAGGTGCACGAGGAATCAACAAGGACTTCTACAAGACTAATTATTGGTGTGCACACTGCCAGTTCTGCCGAAGTTCACGCAGGTGAAGTCACGCATGTGAGTGGAGTTCCGAAGTTCAACATAGGCTCCAATCTGAATGGCTGTGGCATGCTGTGGCTTCGGCTTTGTGAAAAGCAATCGCGAGGAGCAAGGAAACACAACGATATCACTTACTCACTTTGCTGCTTTCTGCTATACTAGTAACTATAAGAGCTTGGGTGTTGCGTCGGCTTGGTGCTTCTATGTTTATTGTGTTTGTGAAAGGCCCCACCATGCAGACCCCAACCCTGCAAGACTGAAGAGATTCAGGAGCGTGAAGAAAGGTGAGCAAGAGTTTGCTGAGGTCCGGCCCTTTGTGTGATCAGGGCTCCGGCCACCTGCTCCTGTGAAGAAAAGGTGAGCAAGGGGCTCCGGCCAACGACTGCTGCAGTGTGAAGAAAAGGTGAGCAAGAGGCTCCGGCCACCACAAGAAAGAGGTATTGCCATGCAGGGGCTCACAGGACAGCACAGGACCTGCATTGGCATCATGGAAGCAAAGGCTCCGGCCACCGAGCTTTCAACACGAGCCGTTCAACCACCAAACATTATCACTAGAATGATACCTTAGGGTGTAAGGAGGCTGAGGTCTAACATGATTGAACTTTCAAGACCGCTGGAATATAGATTTCCTAATTCACTATAGACCCCTTATATGTTGCGTGGGTTTTTCACACTCGAACATTTGTGCCCTGAGCTTTTCACTTTAGACCTTATGACTGTGTTCCACTTCTTGGAGTGACCCGTGTCTTTCAGATTCGACTCGACCAAGTTTCAGGGAACAAGAAACTCTGCACAGAGAGAGCGAGGCATCTCCGAACACGTCCAACAGGAACACAACCGACCTTTTCTTTTTCTCTTGACCTAGATCTTACTCAGACAAAAAATTCTAATGTCCTGGGAATTCACCCAGTCATACATCCCTGCTACCCAGCCTTCCTCTTCCATAGGTGCACTCTTGCCTGTGATTGCTGCGGCTGGGTCTAAATTGGTTCCCTTAGGCATGAACGAAAGTACAGTTTCGGTAGAAGTCCTTGACTTCTATATCAGACCCTTGGTGGGTCCAGGATAGTTCCCCAGAAGCACAAACTGAACAACATCTCCGCTGAAGATCAGTGCATTCCATGTCAATCCGAACTACCTTTTCCATGCTCTGTCTGCTTGCTCAACAAAAAGTGTATTCTTTCCCAAGGGGAAATTTTAGTCAGGCCAAACAGTCAGGCAGTGATGCTAATGTTCAGGGAATGCACCCAGTCACGCATCGACTTCTAGCTAGCCTTCCTTGTCCATAGGCGCGCTCTTGCGTGTGGCCATTGTGGGCTGGGCTTAAATGGGTTCCTTTGAAGAAACATAGTGAAAAGAAAGATGCTGCTCTTGCTTTCTTTTCACTATGTTTCAAGGCATGAGGGTCTACAATGAAAGTTAACATCTAGATGTGACATAGGTCGCTCGGTGAGAAAAACACGTTAGACCGTGCTAATGTTGTACCCCCCGTCTAACATGGTACAAAAAACATTTTAGTGAGACTTGCTTTTCATGTTACACACCAGTTTTTTTTTGGTCTGCTTTGAATACTTGAGGTCATTTTGAAGTAGTTGCGGGTATCAAATACGTACATCTAATGAGTTGGGATCAAGAAGGCCAAGTTTTAGTATAAATGGTAAAAGCCATGTTTGTATAAGCAAATCGAAAGATTAAGTGTTTACAGCAACATGTTAAGCAACAAAAATCTATTAAATGATCTGCTCAAAGGAACAAACCCACATGACAGCAGTACCAAGTGCGTGTCAGTCATTAAGCATAACAGAAGATTGGGTTAGTGTAGCAAGAAGTTATCCTATAGCTACCACTAATGATACTCGTGGAGCCAGCATATGGATTAATTACATAAAGCGCAAGAGATACAGATGATGCCAACAAAATCGAAATGATCAACGACAACATAATGCAACACAACTAGCATCAAACTTGCAATCAACGACTAGAAGGGTCGCGTTCTATTTCGGCAAATTCACTCGAATAAGTTATCCATCCATGATGATTGAAAAGTTTTTGAGGTTTGTCAGCAAAGTATCCTGGAGAGTATTTGAGTGGGAGAACAGCTTCAGAACAAATAAATAAAAACAGCTACAAACAGTAACTTTACATATCCTCTAAACGTCAAAACGTATTTGACCAATAATATGCAGTGATTGTTTAATCTATAGTCAGTTTGCATTACAGCTGGTATGGGCAAACCCCATATGCTTGACCCGAATTGGTGAACCGTTGCCACTTTAATAGAGGAAGCATGATACTCCACTTAGTAATCCCCACCCACCCTGAAAGGGGATGTGGAAGAAGGCAGTGCACCTGTATTGACAGACTAGCCTGACAAAGGCGGACATGCGGATGGGGAAATGTTACAATGTTCTGGATTGTGTTCTGACTCTGGCATGTGCTAGGACCGACTTTGGTCCTGGTATGTGCTCTGACATGTATTCCGGAAATTTGTTCTGTCATGTATAATAGGCAGGCTCCACTCCCGAGGGCCCTTCCACAAAGGCTCAACTAACCGAGGGAACTTTAAATTTCTGCACAGAGAAGCACGGCGCGCCCCAAAGAAGTAGACTGAAAGACTGAGGAGCTGGGGCTTAAGATTGAGGAGTGTGAAGAAAAGGTGAGTAAGGACCTTTGGAGTTGAGGGCGTGGAGAAAGGGGAGCCCTCGTGCTTAGACGCTGTGCTGCAACATGTGGCAATGAGAGTGCACTGGCCAGGACGAGAGATGGCAATGAGGGCAATTGGGCAGCGCAATGCCGGTACATGTCCGCCCCTTTCATGAAGACAGAAAAGTGCAACAAGTTCCAGCTGATGAACTTGTGTTTGTACCCTGACCACCAGGCAATAAAATCTTCGGAGCTCAACGGCAGATCCGGTGGTGCTCTAGGCTTCGGGGAAGCAAGATGGTAGCCGAGGCTGGGACAGGTGCAAAGCCGAGTGAGCATGGTTGAGCCACATTGCTGTATTCACTGACCTCTGCCGTTTTTTGGAAGGAGATGGGGATAGCCTGTTGGAGCTGGTGGTGCGGTGGGGCCAGAATAGTGGCACCATTGCGCAAAGGAGTGTGGGCGCACAGTGAAACTGCAGTCTTTTGTCACTTCTCTTTAGGCTTTGGGATGAAGGGCAAAATCACCCTTCGACCTTTGGAAGCTCACCAAAACCGCATGTGGAAAAATGTAGTGGGTGCAAAGTGGCAGTTGTAGACGCAAACGATGGAGCTTCTCGGCTGCCACAAAACGGTTTCAAGCCTTTTGGCTGTCCAAGAGCTAGGCCCAAGTCAGAAGGGCAAGAGTGGCAATATATACATATATGTATATATAGTAACAAGCCGGCGTGTGTCACAGCGAGCCCATACGAAAATTACAAGACCTCAAATTTAGCAACTAGACTTTGCCCAAAGTTGTCTCAAGTCTCGGCTGCCTTGCTTTGCCATGGCTCATGACGGCCTCAACAGAAGCATGTTTTCCCTGTGCCAGATGTGGTGTGTGGGCAAGCGGGCTGCGCGGCGCCTCGACTCTAGAGGAAACCAGCAGCTGATCGAGACTGTCTGCTCTTCCAACAGAAGAAAATCACCCACCAAAATTGTCGAGAGTCGGTTGCGCATCCTCGATGCCTTGATCATGTTGCCCATTTCAGGTGCTTTCACTCCCGTCTACGTGACGCCGTCATTCGTTCTGGAAGCCCTCCCTCTCTACGTGTCTTCGTCGTGCTGCTGGAGGTCATGGACGTGTTTGCGCCCGTGCGCAGCATGGCGGCATTCTTTCACGTGCTCGAAAGCCAAACAACTAGACCCCAGACAGCTTGACAGGGATTGGGAAAGTCTATTTGCAACATTTTGCGACGGAAGCCAAAGTGGGAACATGTTTCCCGCGTTGAGATGAAGGGTGTCGAAATGAGTGTGTGATAAGCGGATAAGCGTTGTTGATTTTTCCTGAGACGTGTTGCATACATGTTTTGTCGAAGATGTTGGGGTTTTGTTTTGATCTTTACGTTTGTGCTGTTGACGCCAATTACTCCGTGCTTCTGGCTTCATGAGGGCTACTCTTAAGAGAATCTTACAGCCTCAGACCGGGGGTGGACAAGACAAAAAAAGACTTATTTCATTTTGTTTCGTTTGCGCGAAGGTTTTTGTACATGCCCTCCTGTGTTTTTTTCGTGCATGTTTGTGTTTTTCGCTTGGATCCCCTGAAGGGAAGGCTGCCAAGTCACCTACTCCTGAACCCTCTTTGCTACCCTAGTCGGCTAGTCATTTTCCGTCTATTTTGATTTAGCTGTTGTGAAATGTACTTGACAGTCGTTCACGCGTGCCGAAACTAGCCGCAATGGAAGCGCTACAATTTGGCCAATTTGTGGCCGAAACTAACCAAAGTTAACGTGAAAAAACAAAAGCATACTGGAGCCCAATTGCAAGTGCATCCCCTGACGGAAAGGCGGCCAAGTCAGCAAGTCCTGAACACTCTTTGCTGGGCGGGTCGGCTACATATTTCCTTGTATTTCGCCTCAGTTTTTGTGAAATGTACCTGACTATCGTTGATTTGTGGCCGAGACTAGCCCCGATTAAAGGTAATTTCCATGGTGTCATACTTTCACATAGTTTTTGTTTGTTATTTTTTTCATGTTGTTTGTCTTTCTATGTTGCATGTTGGTATTCACCTGGTTCATCATTTTGTCATTGGTCATTTGGTTTTCATTTGGGCTTTCTCATGTGTAATTTGAGCTTTCATGTGGGTCATCATGTTTTAGCGTGTTGGCGTTCGTTTAGAGAATTGCCCTATTGTTTGCCAACATGTCATGTGTCATCCTGGGTAGCATTTTCCTATGTAATGTATTGGTGTTGTCATTTGTTTGTTCATGTGTTGTGTGGTTGCCTGAACTGAAGAAGTGACAACAAAGCCGGCCAATTCAGGAAGGATGAGCATGATGAAAAAGAAATGATAACCCCAGAGGTCTTTGAACGTGAAAAGGATTGCGCAACTAAAATGAAGACCCAAATGCAAAATAAAACAGTACTAAACCAATTTTCCTTTGCCTGGCTGGCAAGGATTGACGCGACGTTACCCTTTCCAGATAGCTTTTGAATAGTAGGCAGCCACAGTCCCAGCAAAACCGTTGGGATTTGGTGAGCTCGCGCCGCGAACCAATCAACTGGGAAAGGTTTCAGAAGACACCCCCAGGAAGGGATCAACTAATCAAGGAAAGCAATTGGGGAAATGCGCAGTCTACGAGTCGCTTGGCTTCCTTCTGGGCTAGAATGCCATCATGTGTGAACAATTTCGCCACAGGTTCTATCTTTGCTACAACGCTGTCTGCAGCGCTTCCTTGCGCTTTCTTGCGCGCGCGATGCGCGAGAAGAAGATGAGAAACAACTGAGCTGGTTCCCATGCGCGCCTGTTTGTTGTCATTCGTGCAAGTTGGCGCAAGAATACTTGTTGGGGAAACCGTTTTTTCTGTTCGTCGCCGCATGTCACCACCCACCATCTTTCGACTTGGAAGGCCGTAAGAACCTTCTTGTTGTGATCAGTGCGTGTGTGAAGTCTGCTTCATTTGCAATCCCAAACTGAGGCCTGGAGGGCGACCTGTGCTCTATCAAAACAATTCCACGCGCCCAACCGCGGAGGCGCGAGTGCCTGTTGGTCCGAAAGTATACACTATTAGAAGGGCAAGGTGTCACAGGTCATATGTGCAATTCAACATGCAGAACTATTGCAGCCTTTGCGCGCAGGAGCTGTGTTTGCGTGTGCGAGGGCGCAGCCCTAAAACCAAAGCTGAGTGCCTCAAGAAGAAGGTGGGCATCTTTAACCGAAACCAGTTGAGGCTATACGTTGGTTGAAGTGAGTTGTTGCACTGCTTGTCAGGGCTGAAGACTTGGGACGGCTTTAGAATGCTTCCTCTTAGCTCCATGAAATGGATTTCATCAAGACAACTTCTGTAGACATGTTGCACGGTGTGTTCCTCTCGTCATTGGCTGGGCAGAGGCCTCTTCTTGCACCCTGGAGCTTGCGAGCTTTCTAGCGGCAGAGGCAGAGGAGAAACATGCACGGCGACAAGTGAAATTTGTTTGCAGCTGCATGTAAAAGACACTCCTTTCGTCACTGTGACGTGGATCTCCGGCACCCTGCGCCACGAGGCTTACAGGCCAGTTTCTCCATGACATCAGAGCCCATTTTGGACACTTGCAGGACCTCAACCCTGACAGCCTAAAGACCTAAACCCTGATTGTTTGCATGCGCGCTGGGTCAACGCACTCACTGGTAGCGCACGAAAAGTAGGCCCTATTTTAAGCCTGCTTTCTGCGCTGGCGCGGAGTATCGACCTGGTAGCTAAAGATGCGAAAAGTGGGCCGCATTGATCTGTGCTGGTGTGGAAGGAGTTGTGCACATCTAGTTTGTTTACACTTTAAGTCGCTTGTTTTGGGCGGGGACCCTCCACAGAGACACCCTTCATGTTTAGGTCTTAGACATGCTGTATTGTATGAAAGTAGCGGCAAGGAGTTCATGCATTTCAGGGCAAGAACGTGACAATTTGGCTGCCGCTCATGTCGCAGTGCTTCGTTTGCACACAACATACACGAAATCGTTGCTACAACGCGGCCGGTTCTCGCGCCGAACAACCGCAAACTGTGTCACCGTTTGAGGCGCTGTCTATTTGAAGCAGCGCGAAACTCAGCCGGAATGTAGTTAGGATGATTATCGGAGCCTGCGCGGTATTTGTTTTGCACGCCGGTCCAGCAGGTGATTTCCATCAACCATTGGATGCAGACTAGTGACTAGATGTGGCACACACGCACACACGCCAACAAAACAACGTCTTTGCTGGCGCACTGCAAGGTTTCGCACCTACGTGACCTCCTTACAAAAACTGGAGCTGGAGTCTTCGGCCACCAAGGCGCCCGGTGCTCGAGGGGGGGGCGATGCCAAGTTGAACTTTTACACAAAGCAACAGCAAAGCCTGAAATAGAACCAATTCAAATCATGCATGACACAAAGCCTGAACTAGTCCTCCTATTTCCTGAAGGTTGATTGAGTTTCAAGTACCGTTTGTGATCATTCAGGCTCTCCGCGCCTCAAGGGGTTCCAGCCTTTCTGGTATTTTATTTCACTGCACTTGTGCTAAAGAGGTTCTTATGTTAATCCAGCTGACTGTTGTTGTTTTTTTTGGGACGATTGTGGAGATAACAATCTTTGGTGACGACAACTATTTTTGTTTTCAACAGGATTTACATATTTAGATCATTCTTTTGGTGTAGCGCAACCATTTGATTTGGATTCGCCGATCTAGCTACCTACCTGTCTCCGCAGCCCTCAAGTGCTTCCGTGGTTATGTCGTGCAGGGTCAAAACCAAAATATAAACACCCTTTCTTGGTGGTGCAAAACCACAATATTACAAGGGAAATGTTGTTCTAGTATGTTGTGTGTGTGGCATTGGCGTTTGTTGATGTTTTGAAGATGCCGCAATCAGAGTTCAAAACGATCATGTAGAAACTCAGTGGAGGTTGCCACCATGACCTTGTGTGCTTTACACGTTTGGTGAATTATGAACACACATCGTTTGGATTTGTCATTGCGATTTAAACACAAAGTTCATGCAAAGCAAAATATTGAACAATTTCACACATGTTACATGTTTAACTTAGGAGGGTGCTGTCATACCCTACTGGGGGGTGGGAAGGCCAATGCCAATCCTGGAAATACACAACTATTGCTCAACGGGGTTTAAGTGGTATTGGCAACTGGAAACGATTTTGTTCGTTTGTGTTGTTGGCGACCGCCCACGTTTGGAAGTCAAAGTGTTATTGATGTGTTTCCAACTGCCCAGTTGGCTGGCACATTTGAACAAGTGGGAGAGTTTGGGGTTTGCATCATGTCGAGTGGACATGTTTGTTTGGAGGGATTTCACGCATTCTGCGAAACCTGGTGAACTTTTCACTTCCAAATTTTAAGGAATGCAACAATCATCGTTTTTTCCCAACAAACCTTTGAGTGAACAGTGCCAGGAAACGCCACGAATGATTTAACATCATTCCCAAACACTCCATGGAACTGGCATATTTACATGCATTGACCCCAAAATAACCACCCCAATGTAAGTAAATATGTCCCAGACAGGTCGTGCTTGGGATTGTTTTGGTTGCTTCGTGTCAATTAGTCCGGTGAAATGCACCATCTTGGTCCACAACTGTCCTTGTGGTGGTCACAGTGTACCTATCCTTGGCATGGCGACAGATTCTCCGAAATTCGTATGTAGGTCAATTATGTTCGACGCGTTCTATTTTGGTTTCAGGTTATTGCTACTGCAATGGAAGGTCAGTTTCCTTCCATGTCACTGCCTCACAAAGGTACAAGTTCCAAGCGCCAAAAAAGAACTGATTCCTAGAGAATTTGACACCCTGTGGGGAACCCACGTGGACCCCGAAAACCACGTTTGTTTCATCTTCGGAGAAAAAAAACACATCTTCAAGTCTGGTGAAAACGCCAAGCCCGGTTCCATATTAGTTGGAAGGAAAAGGATTTCTTTCACTTCACCACGTGGTGCTTCAGCGGATCTGTCGGATCCGGGCTGAACGCTGCTGCTCACCCCACCCCAGTCCGACTTGCTGGTCAACGATACGCAGTCCGCGGGCGCGGAGACGCAGATACCAAGCGCAGCGGGACGCGCGAGCGCGAGGACTTTGGGGCGAGGAGTTGGCAACATCAAAACACTGGAACAAATCCAAATTTCAGGTTCCATGGCGAGTCTTGGGTCTTGCTTGGACAGTTTGCATACCCCTCAATTTTTGTTACAGATGGTCATGAATGGTCATGGCATGGCATGTATTGCTGCAGAAGTGGTTGCTCGAGTTTTGATGAGACTGAGAACATGTTGGGGGGCAGAACCAAGACCAAGAAGGATATACCGATATACCCCTTTGATTTTTTTCGACAGGTAACACATGGTAAAGCAATTAATGCAGTTACTTAGATTTGTTGATCGGAATCGTCCGGACGGATGAGGACGTCAGCGCACGGTCAGCGCATGCCCCTTAAAAAAGGCCCAAGCGAACGTCGGAGAGGTCGAACAAGGAGTCCGACGAGTGAGCAGTTTCTTCCTAGCCACTTGGGGATTGTTATTGTTGCAAGGCGGTCGGTTCTTTTTGTTTTGCTGGTTGGGATGTTGCAAATGTCCCGCCGAGACATACGCTTAGAAATTCGCTGTGATGCATGCACGAGAGTTAGTTTCTTGGTAAGAGACTTTCCCCACGTCAGCTTGAACTCAGGTCGTCTTTGGGACAACTTGGGCTTGGGGCGAAGTGGATCTCCTCAGAGGAAAGAGGCAAATCACATTTCTTGGATCATCGTGTTCCACTCTTGCCTGGAATGCACAAAGTACGAAGTACAGAGTTGCGACTATACATGGCACGTGACAGCTCCTAAGATGTGTGGAATTACATAAAGCCAGACAAAAGAGGACTGATGCTAATTACAGATCTTTGATGCTCAAACGGCTCACTTCCCGCATTTTCACTTCCAAAAACCGAGGTGTTCAGCTGAAAGACAAAGGCAACGTCTTTTCTCTTTCAGGTGCACCTTGACTTTTGATCCGGAATTCCGAGTTCGGTCAAGGTCTAGAGGTTAAGTAATGAGTTTCAGACATCTAAGACCGTCTAAGACCTATTTTTGAATCTAGATCAGACTTGATATTATATGTTTTTTTCTGGCTTCGAAAACCTCATGGTTTCGATGCCCTGTCCATGTGTTGCATTGACTGACTCGATTCTTCTCACTTGAAACGGCTTCAAAACGAAGATCAAACGGACATGTCCCGGTTTCCAGGTGAGAGCAGGTGAGGGTTATAAGTTATGGCTATGGGGAATACATTATTTCTATCTTTTGAGGGTGATGCCATTTACTTGAGGGAATTCAGGCAGGCCGCACCACCAATGAAGGCTGTGCTGGTATAGTTCAAACTTGACCTTTGCCCGGCTTGGACCCTTTTGGACTATTTCGAGCTGGGTTCCAAACTATCCAATTGACTCCAGTAAACCAAATGGCTGCAGGCCATTTTTATCTTCGCAACTTCAGGTTTGTATTTGTATGTTTGTCAAAGCTGGTGTTGCATCAAGCATTCAACTATATAGACGGCCTCAGGTTGCCAGCCACTAGACACAACGGGCCGGATTAACAGCATGTTTAGTTGTTTAGTGTTTGATGAAAATCATAAGTTCCCTTTGCTTACCTGGGCCCATGTGATTTTGCAAGGATTGAGCACGGCATTTAGCTAAATGCAGGCTGTTATAGATTCAGTCAGGCTGTTTGTCCACTTCTGGGTGTGTATATATATATAAATTAGAGTCTGCAGAACATAAGTGAACTCAGATTTGCTGAGTTAGTGGTTCTCAAGCATGTTGCTGCTTATGGTACTGCTGAAAAATGTTGAATGGACGACACATGTTGTTCCAACCACCCGTAACAGAAAGATACGATACGAACCGTTCAACACATGGTGAATCCCCAAACAGCAGGGGGTTAATTTCAGACCACGTGTGTTCTGTAGACTGAGTCAGTGAAGGTTCTGTGGACGTCCCGGGCTCGAAATCATGGCGACGTCCTGGGCCGCGCTCGGAGCCCTCCAGGGCGCGATGCAATCCTCCAGCAACTGGACAAGGATCCCATCATCGCGCATACCAACAAGGAGGGCGGGCTTGCTTGCAGGGAAGCTCACAGTCAATATCAAGATTTACACCAAAAAACAATCAAACAAGATGGAACCCTGATTGCATGGACCGTTGGCAGACAATTTTCCGAATACCAACCCAGTGGTTGTCGGGTTCCATGTTAATCTTCCATGGTGTAACCAAACAAAACATCAATAGGCTATACTTTAGCCGCCTCTACAATATTGCATGAATGAAGAAATGATAAGGAATGAGAGATGATAGATGGACTTACAGTACTTTACGGCACATGTTCGGAACAGGCTACAGGGACCCACCATAAACATAAGACATCAGGGATAGCCGGGATAGCCTCAGTTTTAACAGGTCGTGAGAAAAGGATCAGTTGTCAAGTGCTGTTGCAGCTTCTATATACTTCATATACTTCCTTCAGGAGGGCTTACCATGTTGCATTCGACATGCTGAACAGAAGTGATGCAACACCGATGCAGCTTCTCTTTGGCTTTCAGGACAAGATCAAGTACTACCACGAGCAGCTCTTCCGTAGTCATCAGATGTTGCTCATGGACGGGAGTGTGCTTTTTCTTTGTGTGCATGTTGTCCTGGGACACCTGTGTGCCCACACGAGCGGGACTGGGACCTGTGTTGGATAACAGGTGCGCACCAGAGGCCATTGTCCGGTGCGCAGTAAACAAGATCCCATGCAACAGAGCCACATGTGATCATACCCCTTTTCCCGCAGCCAAACACCGCAGCGCTTGGATGGAGGAAATACTGGTGAAATGTGGTAAGAACCACTGCCACTCCACCTTTTTTTTCCCATCAGAATCAATTCCATGAAATACCATTGAATAATTTCACACACCTCTTCCAGCATTCATCCCAGTCCTCGTCCTGAGTCCACACTGCTCACTTCAGAAGGGCTGAAACCGACCCTTTTGTGTGTTCAGCTTTGGAGCCGCTCGACCAGTCGACCAGTCACCCCCTGTCACCCCCACAACCACCTTCGTCACATTCTTCGTTCTTTGTCACCGGTCCACGGTCTCGCCACGACAAGAGACCTCCTCGGTCAGGACACCGCCACGAGCGAGTTCCTCTTCCTCAACGACTTCTTCGACACCAAGGGCGACCAGAGCCTCTTCGTGGAGCCTCGGAGCATGTGATTTCGGGAGATAGAGGGAGGTGGGGGATTTGGGTTCCAAAGACGGATCTATGTCTGTCTATCTTTAAGAAGAGTCAAAGATCAGTCAGACATTTGAAGTACCAGAGGATATCGGAGGATTAGCCCATATCAACATTCTCCGTATAGATCATTGGAAAGAATCCCCGAACCTTTCAAACTCCCTAATTGTCTTTGTTTTCTCTTTCTTTCTCCAGCGAAGCTCGATTGTGTAATCCAACGATTGAGTTCAGATGTTTGAGTTCAGCGTCGTGCGACGAGAAAAATCACGTCGTGCGACGCATGTTCGTTCCACTTCGCAACGAGAGACGTGCGTTGTTGGACTCAGGAAGTTTTTGGGAAGACGACTCAGCCGGGGCGCCTTTCAGGTCGAGAGGAGTTTGATTGATTTATTCAGTCCTGTGGTTTGTTGGGGACGTCTCCAGTTTTGACCGGTCAAAGCAACACCGCAAGTACTCTTTTGCAAATTTGTTGCTGTTCGATCGCAAATTTGTGTGGGGACGAGTGCTTTGGAATCGCCATAGAATTATCATCGGAAGGAGTGTGACAAAGGATTAGGCGCTCCGCTCCGCTCACGAGAAAGTAGTGACTGTCATAGAATAACCAAACCCTGGCCAGGGAATCTCTATGTATTAGAATCCTACAAAAGAAATTGGCATGATTGGCAATGATCCATGATTGGCAACTACAGACCAGCACCGCAGAAAGAGTGCTTCATAGACACCCACTGACGACTGTATTTTCCCTCCCATCACCACCCGAAATCCGCGGTGCTGGTTATGTAGAGTCTTGATTAATAAACCCACCCACCCCATTTGAATTGGAACATCCTCTTCACATTGGCGGGGGTTACGAATCAAGAGTCTACATTTGTGCTTGTGTCACTGACCCTACTTTCGCTGCATCACCGCCCCTCAGGTATTTCCTGGACTCGCTCGAGGCCTTCCTAGCCAACTGCTATGATTCCGCCTGGGTCTCGCAAGAGGGTTGGTGGGCGTTGGCGGCTAAGGGGGAGAACGACCTTGGGGGGGTGGCTCGAGAAGACCATACTCCGGTCAAGAGATATCAAGGCTAATGTTCAATGATATTCAATGCCACTACATATATCTGCATATTTACATGTGTTCTGAACATACCGTTCATCACCCTACTTTGCTGGGTCAAGTGACATCGGCACATGGCTGCTAGCCGGTCTCCAGGAAGCTGCTTTCAATGTTTTTTGGTCATAGTTTACATAATAACAGAGACCCTTTTTGGTGGCAACCTCCAATTATTTGCTTCATCTCCCTGTCCAGTTCCCTTCCAAACAATTCAGAAACACAAAGCCCAGTGATTCCTCGACCATACCCACTTATAGGCCCGTAGGCTCACGGCGGCTATGCCAGGAAAGAAAAAAGATGAAAAAAGCGACTCTACCAAGCTGCTGTGGCTGGTGCGAAATCGCATTCGACACTTCAAACCCGTCCGTGGAAGCGCTCAGGTGGGTTTGCTGCTCATGGTCCGCATCGTGGAGTTCTACCGAAAGCGCATGCAACAGCGCAAGGCGGTCACCGACGCGAGGTCAGCGTAGACCGACCGCGAGGTTCGGCCGAAAGGATGCCGAAAGGTCGTCTCGGGGGTCCGATTCGGATGTTTGGTGCACCGAGGTCCATCCGAATCGAGGTCCGAATCGGACCAGGTCTGATCAGGAGCCAGGTCGTTCTTGCCCGATAGATTCAGATTGGTGAACAAAAATAAAAAATAGAGAAGAACCCAAACAAACATAAAATACGAGCCAGAAGACATAATGAGGTTATCTCAGATTCATTCATAATGAGGTTCTGTGTAAGTCTTCAGAGTTTGGTGCCTAGCCGGCCGTTGGTTGAAGTACTTCTTCGTGTTACCATCGTGCTGGCCTTGGATGGGTGAAGGGTGCCGGCGGATGGGCGTGTTACTTAGACCATCCGAGTCGGACCGAGTCCGGCCGAGCTGCGGAATACTCGGATCGGCTGTGTTTGAACCAGCTTAAATGTGTTTTAACCAAGCAATAGCTGCGTCACTGTGCATTGCTTGGCCCTGCTCTATGTTTCATGGTCTCCTGTGTTTGTGTCCATTTCTTGGTGCGAGAATTGGACAACTATGTATTGAGCAGCATATTCTTTCCATGTTCAGATTTCAGACAAAAATTACAAACTACATCAAAACCACGTGTAAGTGTAATGTATTTAGAATATGTAAACTCTTGATTCATTGCACACAAAGAATATAGGAAGAGGCTTTACAATCCATGTTTGGGGGGTTCTTGATCACCATAGGCCTCCTCAGACCCCATAGGTGGCCTGTTTGGATAGCTACCTCGATGCTTTGCAGCTGCTCTTGTGGCTGGGGGGGGCTCAGGTACTCAGGTGTGATCGAGCGAATCCTCACCACTCTGACGGATATGAGTTGGGTCTGTCCTAGTACACCTAGAACAGTCTGTAAACAAGCAAATCACTATGCTTGAATAAGGCCTGCAACCTAACCGTCATCCACTGTTACTGGTACTAGGATAGACCCAAGATATGGGCAGCACTGGAAACCAATAGGGGCCAAGCCCAAATACGTTTTGGTACTGGGGACACGAAGAAGTTTTGCCCGCCACTTGTGTCATATGATGATACTGTATACTACAGGAATATACAGGATCAAGTGTCAACAAATGTTTCAAGCTGATTGTGTAACCAATCATTTCAAGGGTGGACGACTCTCAACATTTTGTGCAGCTACCCCTCTACAAGTTGTAGGATTGGTGCATGTTGAACGTGCCTCGTTTGAAACCCTGAGGTAACTGCCACCGTACACTTGTAGTATTTGCAAACAACAAAGCTTAAGGGTTCTCAACCCTCAACTCACCACCACCATGCATGTAGTATTTGGTACTTTCTATCGCATTGTAAAGGATACACCCTGAGAGTCTTTTGCTGCGGCCCTAGGGTTGAAATGTATAACAAGAATCATTTGGCAATTATCATGTTGCGGACTCCCTGCCTCAAGCAAAGCTCTTCTTCACTCCAGCTCCGCAAGTCTGTGTGGATGCTACTCCCAGCGCAGGCTGGCCAGAAATTGAAGTAACCTGTTGGACATCCCAAAAACATGCTGAAAGTCAGTACAAGGATGTAAGATCCTGGATGTTGATTTGTCATGATTTGTCCTTGGAACGTGATATGGGACGTTAAACAAATAAATACCCCCAGCCTTGTGACATTAATCATGTCCTTGGATGTCCATGTCGGAACGGTGCAAAACCCTCCACAACAATGTATATATATAATGATAATATGTTGAATGAACATGCCCCACACGCTAATGAATCAAAGTTTACGGATCAATAACAATATTTCGTGCACCAAAGAAACTTCAAATCCATGATTTTGAGAGAAGATAGACCAGTGCATGTGTCCCTACTCCTTTAGAATTTGAGTTACATGAATTCAGAGGTGCATGTAGTGATGATTGGATATGTTCGCGTGTGACAACCAGTTGCGCCACCCACCGGGTCACCTGGTGCGAACTCGCGTCCAAGGCCAAGGCTCCGACACGTGTTGGAGGCGAACATCGTCTCCTTACGCAAGGCGCACGGCGTTGCGGGACTGAGCCGTGCGAAAGCATCGATCGAAAAGGCATATCGAAGTGACGCGGCGACCCCTAGGACAGGTGTCGTGGAAATCAGGATGGTGTGAAATGGTGTGAAACTGAGGGTACTTGGCCCTTGAGCTTCAGATGTACTTGGATCATCTTTGGATCCTTTTTGGCGCTCCGGCCTGGCCGGCCTCTTTGGCCCTTGTCACTGATTCTACACCCTTCGAGTGAGTTCAGCAAACCTGGTGGTGTAAGTTGATGATGTTTTGGTCGCCATGCAAGTTGATGATCATGATTCCATCCATCCGGTGATGTGGAAGATCAGACTTCCTCCAATGGATCCAATGACATTTTGCGGTGCTTTCCTTTTTACTGAAGAAACTGGTGCCCACCAACATCGCCTGATCAAAATCAACAAAACACCGCGCGCCGCGCGCTACCGGTACCGCCGGTACTGGCCCCATCGTTCGCGGCCCGAAGCGGCCGCAGCGGGTCCGGCAGGCGTATCAACAAAGCTTGCAGGCTCCCAGCAACAGCAATCCCCATCTGGTCACCCGAAGGCCGGATTGATGCAACGGAGCGGTACCCCCTTGGGTCGGGGAGGTTGGTGGAGGACGACCCCTAGATACTGCTAGGGGTCAAGTTCATAGGTTCACCGGAGCTACGACCATGACGGCTCCAAATGGATGGTTTAGTTGGGATTACAACCATCCAGTCGAAGGGTTTCAACCTTTTCTAACAGTTCTTTCATTTGGCATGAATTCTGACCTTAGGATAAGCGCAGACCATTTTCTGAAGGGAGGGAGCAATCCCCAGTGATGGGGTGGCAACACCTGGACGAAAAAACAAAGAAATCCTGCACGGTGAGATGGGGGATGCAAACATCTCCAGGCGACGTCTCACTTTTGGGACGTCGCCATCTTGCTTCTTTCCGAGAACCCTCACGAAGCCGCGCGAGCCGCTGGTTAGCCCGGGTCGGGCACGCAAGGATTCCGGGAAGCTTCCGGCAACGAAGCGACCGCAGGTTTGCCGAGTTGGCGGCATCTTTGTACTTCCTCAGCTCCCAAGAGGATACAGGACGGAGTGCTGTGCTGTGCTTCAGCGATGGATGTTCTTCCGTGTGGGCGATGGAAAAGAAGGCAGAAGCACCAATTAGTGACTCTCGAATTTCATGCATCCCAGGCATAATCAATAGGTTTCAAGAGGGTTTTTCAATATGTTTCAACTCAATGGTTGAGGGGATGGACAATTTTCGTCAATTTTCAATACATTCAGGTGGCTTTTGGCAGAAACGGTGGTATGAAACCAACCACTTTTGTCAAACCGTGTCAAACCATTTTTTGTCCGACCTGATTCATCGGCAATGGGTTCCCAACTATATATAAATGCCTAAAAGCCAGCCGATAGGCTAGGCTGAAGTTTCTTTATGAGCGAACAAAGTGAGAGATTAGAGGCTGTGGGGGGGAGACATGGCATTGGGGTAACATGGGGTAACTATTTAACAGAGCCTGCTGTACCTCGAATTACATGTGTGTGTTTGGTATTTTTTTGAGCTCGTGATGCAATATGAACCCGTGTCGGCATCACTTGCATTATAAGTCTCATAGGGCTGGGGCGCCTTGTTTTAGAACAGAGGCGGATGTTTTATGTCATACTGGATTGCACAAGTTCGTTTGAACAAACAACATCGGACTCCGAAGTGTCCAGTGGCAACGTTCACCTCCAGCAGCTTTTGTTTCTTCCTCCTCAGGTGTATTTATTCTATCAACAACTGATTCTGTTGCACGTTAGTTCGAAGGTATTTCAGGTGGCCGTCCGAGGTCCAACGAGCTTCCCAGTAGTTGGATCTAGAGGGAATGTACCAGGGCCCTGTGACCCCCTACCTGGTGACCTAGTAAGACCTAGTATCTCGAGTTGATATGGGTGTCCATAAACTATAAACCACCCCCCGGACCATGGGTAAGTGTTCTGTCACTTCAGAATTGCATCCTCATGATGTACCTGTGGAATCCAGTGATTTGTGGGATTGGTGGGACAAACGGAAAGCAGCCAGGACTGCCAGACAATCTGCAGGGAGCTCCAGGAAAACACCTTATGGCTTGCGATCAAGTATATTTTCGCTCGGATGGGTGGGGCATGGGTGTAGCTGGGTCTAGATCCCAATTTTCAGGTTTGGTGGGTGTGGATTGTGTTCACAGCATCTCTGTCCCGCTGTCTCGCGCCGTCCAAAGGTTCGATTCTTGGTGCCCTCTGAGTCCATTCGGGGAGGCGACCAAGGGGTGGTGGACACTTGCCACGTCAGCAAATGGCAAATAGGAAGATTGCCACGTTCTTGCCCCACTTCATGGTAGGACTATAATAGTGGTGAATACGCAGATAAGCCATCATCTACAGAACTCACCCGAAGCAAAATCAGACCAGCATCCCAGCTGTCTACAGCCAGCGGCCACTGGGCCAAGGCAGCAGCCTCTCAGCAACATGCGCCAGGCACTGAACATCCGAAGTGGGGCCTCGATCGGTGGTTGGTAGGCAGTCTGAGGTCCTGTGTGGTTCATCCGAGCTTAATCATATTTAATGTGATAAGAACGAGTCTTTTGGTCGCCAATCCGAAGAAGGTTCACCAGGAACTTTTGCCAGGCACACTTGGAAGGCAGCCCCTTTGAGTCTGACCGTGTTACCCACACCAGTCCTGGCAGCTTAGTAGAGAGCTTGGCTTTCTGCGGCGATCGCCACGGTTTCCTTGGAGTTCCTGAGCTCCTCTCGGAGATCTCATGTGAAGTTCAACCTGTTAAAGACCATTTGAGGTGGAGTGTTATCTGAGGTATCTATGTTTGATTAGAAGACCATTTGATAGTCCTTTTCTGTCTGTCTTCTTACTCTGCGCTCGCTGTGAAAAAAGCTGGTGACATGCGCAACAAACGACGGGGTGTTTGGGGTGTTTGCAGCCGACCCATGGCACATGGCTCGGCTGCAAAAAAGAAATACGACCTTCGGATACATTCGGCATCCTTCGTTTTGTTATGTGTTGTATTGTTTTGTTGATCGCCGATCACCAGATACAAACCATATCCAGATGAGTGCTTGGGTTTGGTTCACTGTTTGTTGCAGTCACTATGAAACTCTACGAACATTTAGGGTTGTGATCTGAATGTATCATAGGACCTGCAAGTGGTAGCAAGGATTGTGATCACTGACCATTAAACAATCCTGCCTGGGGTGCCAGCATGCGGGGGGGTGTTTCTTAATTAGTATCGCATCTTCCAGCCATATTCCAGCCGGTGAGGCTGGTGCCAGGGCTTTTCTTGCTGTTTCGCTCCAGGGTTACCAAAGACATCCAAGTTCGACTCTAACAGCGCCAGCACAACGGAGAAAGCTCATGGTACGGCCACCACTGGGTGGGGAAGAGCCAGACTGGCCATGGCAGGAGTTTTGCACGTTGCTGTCTGCCATGGCCAACCGCCTCGATGGGCATCTGGGCGCAGATGGAAGAGAATCGGCCAGTTGGGTGGGAGCCAGTTGAAACTCAAGAAGCTTGTTTCGAGTTCCATCATTGAAGCCCGAAGCCCAACAGGTTGAAACTGGTACCCAGAAGAGTACCACACCCAACATAATCCCACCATTTCAAGAAACCTGTCTCCTATTTGGTACAAAAGTGTTTGATGCCAATAGTCTACATTGCTCCTGTTGCCACTTTGGCTGAAACTTCTTTGGGTCTCCTACCATCTCCTACCTTTTCCCGCTCCTACGCCTTCCCCGTTTGTTGATTTCCTCCTATGGACATTCCTACGCCGGAACCCCAAACATCCAATCGGAAAGGAAAGCAAATCAACTGTGACATGAATATCATCCTTGAACTGCAGGGCATGCCATCTCGTTCCGGGCTTGCGCTCCGAAAGCATGCACGCGTCCATCGGGCTCCAGCCCTGCTCCACACGGGCCGTGAAATCACGGCTTTTTCCGCTGCTGGTCGACCACATGGAGCTGATTGAGGCCGTGCTCTGGGTGAAGAGCCATGGTTGAAGAGTCTTGAAGTGGAGTCACATGAGCAAAGTGGGTTTTAGATGTTTTAGTTGAAAAACTCAGATTCCACAAATTGTGACTGGGTGTTTGATTTTGGTGTGATCACAGTGTGCAATTCTGAATCGACCATCCGAAGACCAGATACCACCAGTTTCGTCAAACAGTTAGGCTTAAACTGGCTTAAACGTCCAAAAACTGTATATACCAGGACCCTCCTGTTGGGGTGTCTATTTATAGCCCCAAACAGCTGTGATTCCGGATGTCCATTAACCACCCCGACTGGATCGTCTGGTTTTTATATGCCATGTGCTTTTTTTCTCGGTCAAATGCTTCTTGGCTGCGGTCTTCGGAGGCGCAGACACTCAAGGTGAAAGCGAATAGAATCGATTTGTGAACAGAACAGAACGTATTTTTTGCACTGATCATGTTGGATCATGTTGCACTGATGACTCACAGTTGGCTCGCGCAACACAAATCATCTATATGTATACTACATATATATATATATATTTATATATATATATGTGATGTGCGTGTGATACGTCCCAGTTCAAACGTGAGGGCAAAGCATAGGCCTTGCATCCTGTTTGGTGCGTTGCTTGGTGTCTCACCTCCAGAGAAACAGTCCATGGTGTCTTCTTTCTGCCGTCTCAGGATTGGGGTGACCATTGTGGCATGGGCAGGGCCATTCTTGTTTGCTCCCAGCTGGCTTTTGGACTCCTTGATGCCCATTGCCCCAAAGCCATTGCTTTGGCTACGCATGCGTCTTGGCAGTTGCAATGGATGTGAACAAATAACAAAACATTGCATATATAGACTCTTCTTCCGCCGTGCAGACAGCACAGACACTTGGACCTCAACAGCCATCCATACATACCTCCCAAAATTCGGCCTCATCCTTGGACCTCAAAAGTGGACTCTTCGGGCTTTTGAAAAGCTTTGTGTGATGACCTGCTTCGTACGGTATACGACTGCTTGCTTCACTGGTGGTGAAAGAGAGACCTCAAAACTGGCCATGCCACAACTCCGTCTCTTCGCTGTATTGATGTGACAACCTTGGTACTGTCCAGGCTTTGCTTCACTGGTGGTGAAAGAGAGACCCTCCCAGTTTTCGGCCCCTTTTTTGGACTCATGTGATCGTGAAGACTAGCAAAGACACATCTGATGCTGCTACGATGAAGACGCCTGCAACGCGAGGCTCGGTCTGGCCTGGTTTGCCCTGGTGGCTGGTTACGGGAGCGGTTTGCATCAATGGCGGGTGAAAGGAGAATATCCATTTGGAGCCTTGGCCAGATTGGTCCGAAGACGTTCAAAGATGAGGGGCCTGCGGGGGTTTGGGTTTGGTGCTTAGACAGCATCAGTCATTTTGATTAAACATGCACATATCGTAAACTCCATGGAAATTACATATGTGGACAAACATATGTTTACATCAAACAGCTGTCGTTGTTGGGACCCTCGTCGGGTCGTTTGAAGGATAGTTGCAGGAAGTTGCCAGGGACGATGAGGGCTTTTCTTGCTACTGCTGACCGACCAGGCGAGATCAACATTTCACATGAGCCAAGCTCAGCCAAGCTGTGCTCATTTGTGTCTATGATCATAGTTGGAAGCATCATGATTCTCAGCATGATTGCACATGTTTAGAGCCCTTCCCTTCTGTTTTGCTTCTGGAGTAGAACTCCAATCCATTTGAGCCATGCCAGTCCGATCTTTGGGAGAAACAGCACAGCACAATTCGCCGCCCCATGCATGCATGGGCACAATACAGCGGCGGGGCCGGCCTGGGCCCCCCCTATTCAGTGACAATCCGCCCACTTCCCAACCCCATCTCTCAAAACTGTACCTGGGAATGCGAGTTTGGTTGCCCAATCAGCCTTGGCCGAGCTGCCTCAGCTTGGAGTCTGGTTGCCAAAGTCCGACGGGGCCAAACCGTTCTTTTCGCCCGAACAGCAGAGTTGAGGCATTGTCTTCATGGGCATCATCTCCAATGGCGGCGCAGGCAGTTTGCTGCTCATGAAACTTTTAGCTCGAGATGAAGCGGTCGTCGGCTTGAAGCCATCTGAGGGTGAAACAACCACTAAGCTGGGGACCTCTTTGATCGTGATATCTATCATGCTACTGTGCCTCGGCTGCCAACACCGAAGAGAAGCGCCCAAAGTTGGACCCCCCAAACACGGTCGGCCTAGCCTCCTTCTCATCGCGACATCGGACGAGGTGCCTGTAGGCCTGTCTACGACTCAACTTGACAACCCGACCATATTTACAAATGACTTGATATAATAATTCCCATATTTTTTTTACGGTCTTGTGGCTGGTGTTTGTGAACCTGGCGCCTTTTGACGAGATTGAGAGGCCGCCGGGTGTGGAGTCGGATATAGCGGTGAGAACTCCATCGCCATGTGGTGTGCGAGTTCTCCGCATTTGAGGTACTCCATCACCACGGGTCTGTTATTGTCTTTGGTTCCCTTCCTGCAGCCGCTAGAGAAGGATGAGTCTGAGCTTTGTGGAAAAGGAGGGGCCCGGAGGGGCAATGGGTGAGGACACGACATCCAGTCGGCACACTTGGCCTGCATCCCTCAGCAGTGTTCATTTATCATTGTTTCAGGGGTGTTGCACTCTAATTGCTGGCAAGAAGAGGGTGCAAGAGCTCTTTGAATTTAAAATCGGTTTTGCTCTCCAGATGATAGTGAGGATTGCTTGGTACGACCAAAATATGTCCGACTCCTATAAAAATACTTGAAACGGTGTGTTTAACATGCGATTTGATTAACATGTTAGTATTTAACAATATCTATGCACTGGAATGTCTTTTAGGTACATTCCTTCGGAGTAAGTCAAGTATTTTGGCCAGTCAGGGTCTCCGCAAAGCTTAACTCTTTTCCATCAACTATATCTCATCAGGATCAACGTTGAAAGCCCATAACTTCCGGATCTTCTTGACATAGGAAGTCCCCGGAACCAATTTGTTTTGATGAGTTGTTACTTTTTGATCTTTTTGGGCTAAGGTCTCTCTATACTCTATACCAATACATGCGAATGCCTGCCAGTTGAAGACAAAGCTTCACTAAGATGGGTATATCATGCTAGTTTTCAGGAGATGTTTGTTCATACCTCGAAGCCCTATATTGGTGACTATAAACAGGTTATACACAAACACATGTGCACAAGTACAAGAAAACATCATGGCCCCAGCATGATGCTTCGACTGATTGCCAGCTGTTTGGTTTTCTCCTGCAGCTAAGCTTGATGAGACCGGAGACGGGACCACAGTTGCTGGGAACGTCTTCCAAAACGACCCACGTCATGTCTTCAGAACTAAGACACCGACCCCTTCCCCAAGTCTTATGTGTCGCACCTGGCACCTGGCTGTGGGGATGGTCTTGCACAACCGCACGGGAAGAGGTGGTGAAGAGGCCTCTCAATTCTTGCCGAGTTGCAAGAATTGCGAGGGAAAGCAGTTCAATATGACCATCCCTGAAGCGAGCCACAAGCAATTCCTCACTCGTCACGATGTATGTCCAACCAACATGTTCAATGGACAATCCTAAACCTTGAAACCGTAATAGTTTGGTACTGCAAACTCATCCAACTTTCTCTAGTGAACATTGAAAAAGGGGTTTGATGATACTTCGACAAGTCCTCAACATCTCCGCATGTCCTCAACATCGCCGATCTGAGGACTGAACATGCTCGGGACGGAGGACGTAGCTGGTCAAATCCGTGAAACCTTCAAATGTCCACGGCCAAATCTCCATGCCATGCGTGCGTTGCTTGTCAACAGACTTGGATGGTTTTGCTCAAGGTGATGTTTGGGTGAATCCATAAACCTGGGTGAATCCATATGTCCTATGTGGTTCTTTTTCCAGCTCCTGGACAGCAAAGCCAAGCTTGGTCAAAGCAGCTTTGGTCCCTACCATCGGTGATAACGCATCGACTCCTGTGTCCTGGACCGGCTTGCATGTGCCCTGTGCCCTAAGGATTTGGGTCACAGGATGGAACACAAACATTCTTCCATGAGATGTTATATGGAATATTGGGGCTCCAAGAGTATTTTCTTAGAAGGTATTTGGACCCTCTGAACCCACCCCAAACACCTTTGAAACGAAGGTACTTGGAGCCCTGGGGATGATTTTACGTTTAAGGAAGTTCCATGAGTTCCATTCATATATGTTCTTCATCCCTTTTGAAAGCCCATTTTTCGCAAGCAGCTTCATCTTCTCGACCATCTATCCTATCTGGTCCTATCTCTTAATATAGATCTTGGTCGACGTCGTTTTCCTTTTGGCCGCTCAACATCTCGCACCAAACCCCGGACGCAGTCAGATATTGCCTTCGTCTAAGGCCTTGGTGTTGCCGTGGTCCCTTGCAGTTCGACCTTCTGCAGGGCTTGAAGCGAAAAAAGTAAGCAGCAGCATCGCCTGATGGGTGAGATCCGTCAGCGGCCTCGGGGAGATTCTAGGAGTCCTAGTGATATCCTCATGTCCTAGTGAAGGGTTGAGCAGCGGCCAAAACTTCCCACGTAAGCCGCGAAAGAAGAGCCTATTAGAACAAATTCTCGATAGGTTTTGAGCAATGGGGTCTTGGCACATGTCAATCTTTGGAGCCTTTGGAGCCTTTGCTTTCCAGGATGGCTTTTCCTTGCATGCCATCCCAAGGGAGCAACTTGCCACATGTGGAACACGTCCACCAGTGGAGGCCCATGACTGAAATTAGCTGGGTTTGGTTGAAACCACTTGGAACAAGTTCTGCCTGTTGCGTCACATGGCGCATGGCGCGTGTCGCCCAAACCCCAGAGCCCATGGCCCGCCCACGTCGACCCGACCTCGAACGACCCCAAGGCCGGATGGCTTGGTCTTCTTGGTGAACAACTATGACCTCGTGGGCCTGCCAAAGAAGATAACAACAAAATACAACAAGAACTGTACTAGATCAGAATAGCCTAAAAGTTTCTGACACGAGTCGAAACATGGTAGACATACTATACACATAATAGTGACATAATATTTAACTTTGTTTAATTTGTTTTTGAAGGGTAATTCACTTCATGTGGGCACTCTAATTGTTGCAATTGTCGAATAAGTTGTATGTGTTTGTTGTCGTGCAAAGATCATCAAAGATCCACAGGATTTGCAGAAAAGAATGAACAAAACAAACAAGCGCGCTTCTTGTCCCCAAAAACGGCTGAGTGAGATACACATCTTCATCTTCCAAATGCCTTTTCGCCCACGCTGGTTTTGATCGTTCCTCCGAGGTTCTCACGGTCTTCCACGAACGGCACTTGTCGAGAACTGCGACCTCCGTCTTCGAGGAGTCGAGCGGCCCGGGCCGAGGGTGGATGTCGGGAGATGTGAGTTCGAAGCAGTGGAAAAGCCCTGACCAGCCCTGACCAGCCCTGCGAACACCAGCGGACCAGTGAACAGAATAGATAGACCTATAGAATAGACCAGTTAAATCCAGTAGACCAGGCATTGTCCCCACCGAGAAGTTGGAGTTGATCGTGCTGAGTTCCCATGACATCCCACCATCTACCAGTAACAGTTGGGAAAAGAGGATCACAGGAGTGGTCATCCGGATGGTCTAGTGAGACGGAAACGCACGGTCAGTGGTATTAGAAGACCATAGATGTGTTTGCTAATCTGATGATATGATATATTATTGTAATTATATTGTAAATATAGATATATACTATAAAGTATGCATAAAACATTGTAATGTATTAGTTAGAATGGTTATGCGGTTGACCTCAGGTGTTCTTTGTTAGTTCTTTGTCACGTGACAAATCTCAGTGAGGTGTGAACTTGTGAATTGCTCAGAAGGGTGAGCGATAAAGATCGTGTGTATGCTTTAGGGGTATATGAGAAGCCAGAGCCTTTCACAACCACACACAGACACATTTTTTTGAAGTAATGCAACCAAACACAAGATGTGGGTGCTGTTCCGTTCTCATAAAGCAACTTGGATGGCTCAGCGATGCACGTCTGCAGAGTCATGTCGGAGCTTTTGGATTGATTATCCATGCTGTTGAAGACAAAGGAAGAACCTGTAGGGCCTAGCAAGATAACCTTCAAAGAAAATCATAATGACGTCTATGAGTTCTTTTCCAAACAATTCCTTTGAAGAGATTGTGGACAATCATAGGCTCTTTGAAGATGTCACACAGGCTCTTTTTTCCTATGTTGTTTGTTTGTCCTCACTGGTTGGCATCGTTGTTGGTGGTTATCACGTGTTGACGTTCCCCGTTCAGAACGGGGGTGCACGACTCGACCTGCCCTTGACCCGACCTGACCTTTCTCAGGACTTGCACTCGGATCAGGTGCAGAAGTTCGTGCGGTTCCATAGTGGAATGCAAAGAAACACAAGAAAGACATGGAAAGACATGATGGTTCTCCTACGAGTGGACAGATTCTCTTCTGGAAGAATCACCTGTAATTAGGGTTGCCCGGTAATTAGAATCATGTCCAGCATCCATTTACGTGCCTGGAGGTTTTCATCTCTCTCTCTCTCTCTCTCTCTCTCTCTGGGCACTCGCTTTCTACATGACATGGATCATGCCTATGAACATGAACTGCGGCCTTTTGTTTTTGTCTTCCTTCTCTGAACGATGCCTTCAGCCGGAAGGCCCGCCCCGGCTGGGCCGCCCCGGCGGCTCCCGCGTGCTGTCTTCCGCCGCCGGACATCGCCGGACGCTCCATGTGGCCGCTGAGGTGGAAAGTCAGTTGATGAGACACTACCCAGATCTGGTGACGTCGGGAGCCCCACCACGGAAAGCCCTTGTCGGACTGGTCGGACCGGGCTAGGAGTAGCAGCTTAGGGCGGGCGCCAAAAGCGAAGGACGGCCGGGACGCGGGACGCGGGACGACCCGTTTTAGTGACCTGGTCGGACTGCCAGGACGGCCAGGTAGCTGGGTCCAGGAGCCGTTTGAAAGGGAAACACGGCCTGTTTGGCAACTAGAGTTTCCCAGGTCGAAAGATGTGTTCCTTTTAATCAAAGGTCTAGGCGGTCTAGGTATCATATGGTATCATATGGTATCGACCAGGTTGTTTGACCTGCAAGACTGCTGCAAGACTGCTTGAGAACGGGTCAACACTGCCTGTTTGGAAGGAAAAGCAAATCCTTGACAAGCACACCAACAAAGTCCAAGTTTGAAGTTGATATTAAAACGCCTCAAGTTTCAAGCCCTTAAGCATTCCGTCCGGAACGTTTTGGAACATGCTGATTGAGGACCTGTTATAACGGATCGTCTATAGGAATGGGCACCGCCTTTGGAAGAGAAACGAACGTAAAGCTGTTCCACAGCCCGACCATGGCACCCACAGCCTGGGGGGGGGGGTCCAAGTGTCGCCGGAGCCGGCTCCACCCTGCTTAGCTTCGTGAAGAACACCGAGCCAGCGGCGGGTCCCAGCTGAATCGAAGAGAGATCAAGACCAGCCGGTCAAGACCTGTGCCGGCCTGTGGATCGAGGACATGACAGGTATACACAGACACCCCAATGGCACGGTTTCGGGAGTGGCATAGCAATGCTTTCAGAGAGGGTTCGATGGCACGGTTCACGATTCCCCCATGATGTCCATCATTCGATGGAGGGTCCGCTGGTCCCCACCGTCACTGGGAGTAACTGTGTAACGAACCTCTCAATCCACGTACCGAGTCCGGCGGACCTGCACCCGCGGGCGTTCTTTGGGGGGGATCGATCCACACGGCACCGGTCGGTGAGGTGTTGTCATTCAATCCCAGATACACGGAGGAGGTATTTCTTCTGATTGTTTGCTGTTTTCTTTGTTTTTTCTGGTGGCTTTTGTTTTTTTTTAATGCTTTTGCTTCTTTGTTGGCTCTTGGTGGCTTCTTTGTTGGCTTTTGGCTTTTGTGGCTTTTGGCTTCCCTTGCTTCTACGGCTGTCGTGCTGGAGCTTACAAAGCTGTGCTGCTCACAGTGGCCATGCCCTGTGGCCAGCCTACAGAGCTGTGCTACAAGTGGCCAGGGTTGCGCATGCCTTGTGCTGCTGGGAGTGGCCAGCCCACAGTGCTGTTCACAGTTGCACAAGTTGTGCAGCCATTCCCTTTTTGGTGAATCAGTTCTATATGGGTTATTGTTCTATTTTCCTTCCTTCCTTCCGTCCTTCATTAATTCATTCATTCATTCAGGGGGGTATATATCCGTGGGATATTTTTTGTGTGGAAAAGGAATTTGGAAAAGGAAAAAAACAATGGCAAACCACCAAAACGCAATAACACATGAAAAAAATAGAAACACACAAACAAAGCTAAAAAAACAAACAAAAAAAAACACATCCAAAAATAGATCCGCAGCCGGGATACCCTCCATGTGAGTCAGAGAATCCTTTCCATGTGAGGGCTTTCCCAGTTTGCTCTAATTTACATATGGGAAACTGGGAAAGAGCAAATTTTATCGATACCCCAACGATACCTCACAAGGTGTGCTTTGAAGCAAACGAGATCCCACACGTACACTTGGGAATAGCAAGCCTGCGGTTTTCTCTCTTCTGCGACGAAAAAGGAACACGTTTGCATCTTGTTTTCACAAAGCTCCAGAAGCTGTTGCAGCGCCGCTGCGCTCTTCGGACGACTCTTGGGACTCATCCGGCAGTGAATGTTGGCGCAAGCATGCGCAAGCATGATTTTTGCAGCAGCCAAATTTGCATCCTGAGACTATACATTTCATTCCCTACTTGGCACGCCACAAACATGAGGAAAGACCAACACCCTGAAAAACGATGTTCAGGATGTCCTAACTTGCGAACGCATACACCGTAAACAAAAAATATAGTTTTGGCGCAAACTAATGTATGGAATATTTGCTGAGCAGTTCGGGTGAGTTAAATATTCCATACATGGATGGTCTGGTCTGGCGATGTGTTCGGAGTTCAAAAATTGTATCAACATCTACCAGATTTTTGGCTAGAAGACCAAGAAAGTTTCTCGGATCAGTTTGCTGAGAACAAGGCCAGATCATATTCCCTGCGCTTTATTCAGGGGAAAACGATCAACATCGGTTTCTCATGGTTTCTCGGATATTGTCGCTATAGATGCTAAGCAGGTCCCCATGATTCCCCATTCCTTGTTCCTTGAAGATGCCATATTCAGACGCTCCAAAGACGGGCCAGACTGGTTCCTCAAAACCTAAGGATTTGAGATGCGTAATGCGTGTCCCGGCCGGGAGTTGGTATATATGGTCTGTGAGCCTTTGGGATCCTTTTCATATTGTTAGGACTCAAGAAACAATGGAAGGGAACCTTCATAAGAACCTCAGAAGATTTTCAGGTGGTCTTGCCAACAAACCCAAAAGAGCACCTAAATGGGGGCTCACTTGAACCATCAATTAATGAACATAAATGAAGTTATTTGAAGACAAGAAAGGATATACAAGAATATATATTCTTATAAAAGAACATAACATAATATATATAAGCTCATAATATTTGGTTTGCAGTAACCCCCCCCAAACCAAAAACGCTGTAAATACCAGCAGCTCCCAAAGGAGTGAAACGCCGAGAACGAGCTACGCCCAGGCCGTGGCGCACATCGACGAGAACGCCCGCGCTCCGCCCGGACCATCGCCTCCGCCAGGCCGTCGTTCGGCTCGGACGGGTCATCGGTGGTCAAACAGAACACTTGACCGGCACTAGAAGGGGAACTCAGGGATGCATATATTACAACATGATAAAACAAGAAATATAGACTATAGACATGTCAATATACTAGTTATGTCATTCTACATGATGTTACGTGTGATGAAGTTTGAACCCTAGGGAGCTTCCTTTTCTGGACCCGGTTCCATGCCGACGTTGGGTGCCAACGCCGACGGTGTCGGACCGGGCTACGCATGCGCAGGTGTTGATGTGCAGAAAATGGAGCATGTTTGAAGACCCAGGAGCTGAGGGTTTGCCGAGGATTCGCGAACGTGTTGTACTGCTATCCGTGTGTGTTTGAAAGAGACAGAAAGTGGAGGACCAAACGATTGTCCTTGATGGAGAGAAACAGCAGCTGATGAATGAAAACATGTGAAAACACATGCAGAGTTTCGCAGCTGAGGGTTTCGTCGTTTCAACCAAAGGCATTTGGTTCAAGGCTTTCAGCTTAAAGCTTGCGCTCTGGACGTTTTGTTGTTCCAGCAATCATGGGCTCGGTTTGCAGCACGGCATGCGTGGAGCCCGATTCTTGGTGCGCCAAAGATGTGCAACAAGCAGCATGTCCGTCGCCCAGGACTTTTCAACATCTTGAAGCAAGCGATTCTCAGGTCTTGCGGCAGGAAAGTCTTCTGTCAGATGAGACAGATGAAGCACACGATGTTTTTAGTGAAGACTCCACTGGCACCACTTGCGGAGACCTGATGAGTAAGGTCGATTCCATGAAAAGCCAATTGAGCGAAAAGTCATTGCTTGTTGATGTGGGTGATGTGGTCCTTCAGCGAGAACTTTGCAGCACCTTCAAGAGCAGGGTGTTTGTTGCAAGCTGGCAGGGGCGATTTGTGGCTGCAAAGCAGTTGAAAATGAGCGAAGCAGGTGATGCAGATGATGATGCCAAATTCAAGGAGATGATGAATGATATTGACATCTTCAGCAAACTCAGCCATCCTTGCCTTGTGAATATGCTTGGTGCTAGCGTTGACCGAAGGCATCCGATTTTGCTCACTGAGTTCCTGGAGAATCAGGATCTTGAAACCTACATGCACAAGCAGCGCAAAGCTTCCATTGATGGTTTCTGGAAGCCCCGTTTCTCCTTAGCCGCTCAGTGGGCGATCGCCACGGGTGAGGCACTGGCATATTTGCATGGCCGAGGCATCGTGCACCGAGATTTAAAGCCCCTCAACATGCTACTGACCAGGAACTTGGAGGTGGGACGGTCTGGGGGTGGGCGTTGGATAGGCCCAGAAGAAGTGAATGGGGCCTAAAGATGAAGATCTGATTGTGACACGATCAGCTCTATGATTCTATGTTTCTCTCATGAATAGTGTTTTCACTACAGCAGTTCCCATGTGCTGTATACCCAGCCCAGAGCCCAGCCCTTTCAGGTGAAGATCGGTGATTTTGGATTGGCAAAGGTGATGCCAGGAGGCTGTCCCGGTAGCTCACGCGATGAAGTACCCAAGATGTCAGGAGGTGTTGGCACTTGGCGATATATGGCTCCAGAGGCAGGGGCCCAGGGACACCCAACCCCCGGTGGGTTGGGTGGGTGGTTTGGTGGGTCTTGTCCAAGCTAGGTGGCTGGGCTTGATGAAGAAACTCCCTGACCCGGTAAAGCCAAGTGTATGAATCAAGAGCGGGAAGAGGCTGTTTCGCTATCAGAGTGACTTCTTGTCCAGTCCAGGTTGCCCGATACGAAGCTTATGATGAAAAAGTGGACATCTATGCCTTCAGCTTCTGGGTTTCGAGGTGAAAACGGATGTTTTCTGGCGATTTTTGACTTCGCCCCAAAGGTTAAATCCCAAACCTGGACCGGGACCATCCTGTTTGGGTGTCCAATGGACTACCCTACTTAGAGATGTCCAGTGGACACCCCTTGGATGGTCCAGGTGTGTTTCAACGTTTCTTTTTTGCCCCGGCTTGATCTTTTAATCCAAGGCTTGATCTTGTACTTGATCTTTTCAGGGCTGCAGCCCTTCGGTTCCTACAGCAAGGACCTCACCAAGCTCTTGGATGCATACCAAGCGGGTGAGGAACCCCGACCCTCTTTGGAGGTGTCGATGGGAGCAGACAAGCTCCGCCAGCTAGTGGCAGACGCTTGGCATGTGAAGGCCTCTGAAAGGCCATCAGCTGAGGAGTGCTTGTGTCGCCTTGAGCAGATCGAGGTGCACAGCCTCAAAAGGACCCTCAAGAACTGGGTCAAGAGGCTGAGGGGCGTCCTTTAAGATGCTGTTTGATTCGATGCCTTTGAGGTTTTTAGCTGGCTGGGCTGAATGCCTTTAATTCGTAATTGGTGTTTAGGTTTAACTGGCCAAGAGTCCGTGCACGTTAGTTGGACAGATTTTGATTCTCTAGGCCGTTGCGTCGTAAAACACAACGGAGTTGCCTTTAATGGTTGGAGGATTGGCTCCACTTGGCCGCTTGCCAAACCATGCTGGACCATTGGATGCCAACTTTTTGGACATCCAACCAGTGATGAACTTCATAGATGTTCTATGATTTTTCTGCTAGTTGCTGGTCGCCAGTCGCCAGTCGCCAGTCGCGCCTCGAAGATTCGAGTTGGAACAAAACGGACACAGGAGCATTGAAGCAACAGCGTTCGTCCCAGGTCGAGAAGCTCCGGAAGCTTTGGGTTTCGAGGTCATATGGTTGATGTGTTAGTCATGGCAGCAGACCAAAGCGGTTCACCCAGCTCACCCAGCGGTGAACCGGTCGTTCCATGGACAGATGGCGGTTTTGGAGGCCCACCCCTCCGCCGTCGTGACCCATTTGCCGCCCTCACCACCGCTCCAAAAGCGAGGTGGTCCGGTCTTTTGCGGCCAACTGGAAGAAGGCGTCCCCGGCAAACCTTTGTGGACATGGGGAAACGTACGCAGACGGGTTAGGTCGTCGTGGACGCGACGGGCGAAGAGTACGGCACGGAGGTTTGTATACCTCAAATTGGGGTTCTTTCTTTGAGGGTGAAAAAGAGATAATTAGCCTGAGAATGCCTGAGAGAGGAAGACTTGATTCCTCCTTTATTGAAGTGACGATATGCTACGCGCCAATGCCGCTAGACCCTCATGGAAAAGAACAAACATTGTAACATTGATATGGTATATGCCATACATGAGTGTTTGGGTATGTTTGGGTATTGACGAGGAGGGATGTTGGAGTCTGGGAACTTTGCAGTACTTGAGTGGGAACAAGTATGTAACATATATGCAACATCTATTCCGGCCTCTTGAGGACGAGCTGCTTGCCAGTTTAGGGCGTGCAAGAACGACACCTCGATGGGACCAGAGTTCCGCGCAGGAAAGGGATCAGATCCATCAGTACGTCATGGTGTCCTTCAGCAACTTCAGCAACGGCCAGGGCATCCGAGAGTGTCCTTGGACAGTGCTGACAAGGACAGTGAGTGACAAGGACTGATTTGGCCCTCAAGGACTCTCAAAGGTGAAGGTTTGGAGGGTCCAAACCCCTGCGTCAAAAACCTCCTTCTTTTTTGCTTTTAGATGTTTTAAAGAATTTCGGCTCTGTTTGTTGAGCTCAATCTCTTAACCCTAGGGTCCAATGAAACTTTGGGATGCGAAATGGGTGCTAGCTGCTATTGCTTAGCTGGGGAAGGGATGATGTCCATGGAGTCCATCGGGCATCAGGTTCCAACATGTCCATGGACAAAATCAGGTTCCATCAGGTTCGGACTTGGCTGAGAAGGCGTCCAAATACGCACGAGAAAACAATGAGGATTCACTCGATTGGACGAGGTGTCCTTACACGGGCAATCCAGCCGCTTCAGCCCAAGCAGATCTGGATCTGCCTTCTCTGCAGATCTTCTGTGTTGGACCTGGACCTACAGTAGCAGTGAAGACATGGACCATGAAGTGGTTTCCCAACCTGGACGTCTTCTGCAGTTCGTTTTGGTGCATCCCTTTTTTCAACGGATGGATGGGGGATGGATGGGGATGGATGTTATGCCCTGTGGCACCTCTTGGAACACCCCAGGGATGGCCATCCTGAAGCAAGTTCTCACTCAGCTCTTGCTCTACTACACCCGGCTACAAAAGGCCACCCGGCGCACAAAAGCGCGTGCGGTCGTGGGATCAGATGGGGATCAGATGGGAAGACCGGGAACTTGATGCTTTTGGATCATGGGAACTCGACGCTTTTGCATTCGGAATCATTGATCACTTCATTGTGGTCGTTTGAGCGTTTGGCTTGAAGTCCTTCAATTCTTGTGATTTGCCTGATGGCTTCAAAGTGTCTTTGATGATCTAAGAATCAGGCTTTCAGGCTTTTATTTGGGGGGGGTTCAAACCCTAGGGTCAAAGGCCACCAGTTCGTTGGGTCCAATGATGCCTAGGGTAGTTCAGTTCATATGCCTTGCATGAGAGTGCAGTTCTGAGCCTTCATGATCTCTTCTATCCCGGAGAGAGCGTGCCCGTGTGCTCATGCCCGCTGTAACAGGTGATCCACAAGGCCTTCCCCCAGCAACCGCCGGCCTTTGCCAACGAGATGGTCTCCAATACCACGCGCCTTGACTCGCGTGGCGGGTCGTCAGGGTGGCCATCGAAACCACACAAAGAGGATGGTGGATGCTGGGGTCCTGAGGTGAAAACGACCGATGAGACTCCAAGTTTCTGCATGCTTGGAGGTCCCAAAGTCTGGAGTATTAGGAAGGTCGAGGTAGGCTGAACCCAGCCAACTGTTTCAGGTATTGGTAAGGCTCGCGTCTCCAAGTATCCCTTTTGTTGCACGACTTGTAAACAGCCATAAACACCATGTGGGTGCAATGGCTTCAGACCGCTAGAGCTCCCACAGAAAGTGATAAGTTAACTTGTTGTTCACAGTATGTTTTTCTTACATGGGCAACAATACCTCTTGATACGCCAAGACAAGTGAGCTGTTGGTGTATGTGTCCTAGACAATCTAGGAGTGCTTTGGGGGCGATGTCTTTGTGAAAATAAGGAAACGACAGTAGCAATTGCTCCGCAGTGGAATCGAAGGTCTACCTGTTCAACGCATGACAATCGAAGGTCCTGCTCATGTCATTAATTCCATCTCGCTCTTCCGCCGAATCGCACGCCATCGCACGAAAGTCTCTGTTTCACAGAGAGGCGCGCGCCAGGCGGGGGGGGCATCCTGCCAGCTATCTAGCGTGTTGGAGGTGTTTTGACATGTTGATTGTGAATGGGGTCAAAACATGTCAAAATTGGAGCCTGCCCTGGTCCACCAAGGCCCAATGACCTTCCAAGTAGGTCAACCAAGGTCCTGGTTGGTCTCCTGGTTTGGGCCCAGAGCCAATCAGTTGTGAGTTGAACGACCAAGCATAGGTCATTGGGCCCACCAAGTGCCACAACCCTTAAAGATCCTTATATAAGGTGTCAAAGGTCTGGGATATCAGACCATTGGTTTCCTTCAAACTGGCTTCACTCTTATCGTCCAAGAGTTCTTGAAAAGGCCACCTAAACCGAGAAAACCGGAGCTCTCTCGGTTTTCGAGGTGGTCGGAAGCAGCAGGGGATGTGTAAAAGCACTCCATTTACCCTCCCAGCAAGAAACATGATTGTTCCAGGGAGTGTATATATGGGAAGGGATTCAGACAGCGCTGAAGCTGTTCCCAGCATGATCCCAGCTGATTTTTGGCCGCATCCGCCCGCAAGTTTGAGGATTCTGATGGAGTCAGCCCGTCTGAAGTTGAGAAGAGGGGGTGACGGTCAAGCGCTGTATGACTGTGTGACTGTGAAGAAATGAACACTTTGCCTTCGCAGCTCACCTCTAGAAAGACTCGCAACAGTTCATCCATGGTGAACTTTCATTACTAACTTATCACAGTTGGACGTAATGAGCATATATCAATGAAACTCCATCTCTCAATGAACGGCGCACGTTTTATTGATCTACCTTTAGGTGATCAATTTGTTCGTCTTTGTTCAAAGTTGGCAATACTTATCAATAATGGACACAGTTGATAGGGGTGTCCGGGGAAGACATCCCTGTTCGGCCGGAAGAAGGACAATTGACAGACCCCAACCCCCTTGGTGGGAAGTCTTTCTCCAAAAAAACACACACCTATCACCAGGACCTGGACCGGACCGGACCTGACCGTCCTTGCGATCTGTAGATGTGAAAGGTCACCAAAACTTAGGCCTGTGAAAAAGGCTCTATGAGACTTCAAGGCTCTGAGGAGACTCTAAGGCTCTAAGGAGGTCATGAAGACTTCAGCTCCGGACTTTCGACTTTCTGCTCTTTCTCTTCTCATCACAACCGCAAACACGACCCTTTTTTCGAAGCCAAGTTACGACCGGCCAGGGTCCGGCGCGACAACTTCGCGTGAGGGAGAGAGATGCTGAAGAACATCTCGGTCGGAGGCAGTCGGAGACCGCACCTGATAACCAGGACCCATAACCTGGAGGAAGGAGAGTGAAGGATCCATTGATGTGACTGAGCATGTTTCTACCGAGGTGAACGGCATGTTAACTTGTGTTTGTTTTGGGGTCTGGCGATGTCTTCTCTTAGAGGGCAAAGTTTTCATGGTTGCTTGTTGGAGGGCTTGTGTGTTAGCGGCCACATGCGGCCACATGGTTTGATCGGTTCCACGTCGTCTTCGGTAGCTACAATAAGCTTTGCCAGCAGCTGGTCTCATCAAGTACGGCTGCTAAAACCATCACGTTTGGTCTGATTCACAGGGTCGGGGGAATCATCCAACCTCAATGGATGTAACAGATTGATAATCCAACGACTAATCCATCCATTGGCCTTTAGGTTCGTCAAGGGGCCACAGATGGCTTCTGGATGCTTCTTGAATGTAACATAATGTAACAATGGTCTTGTCACGGTGTGTCCCAATACCAGTAACAGTCGGCAAAAGGCTATCACAGTGGCCATCACCACTTTTGAGATTGAAAGGCCTGCAACCTAACCCAACCATCATCGTCCTTTTGTTGGATTCATAGCAGGAGATGCCCCCATGGTCATTAACATGTTTACCGTTTACCTAATATGATATGCACTTGGGGTGGTTGATTGATTCATTGCGCCGCCTCTGTCCACACGTCCGGTCTTCTGCGGCTAGTCCGGACGGGACGGGGACTTTGAAAGGGGGCATTCTCACTGCTTAAAGCTGTTGAGTTGATGAATCAGTGGAATTGTCCTGGTTCAAGGAACTACAGTAGCATCCTTCATCCTGTTCAGAGAATTGCCTAATCCCCCCCCTCATTGGTTCTTTCGGTGTCTTTTGGATGTTTTTGGCACTCGTTCGCCGTTCGCCCACCGTCGAACCGTCGTCGAACCGTGCTTTCACGACGGACCTGATGCCTCGACGGTGCGGACGGACCTGACGTGTCGACGTCGCCTGCATCATCATCCACTCTGCCAATATAAGTATAGACAGTGGTATAGACCCAATGCATATACCCAGATACGAACTCCTATGTTAGACTTCTCACGACTTGCTCTATCTCGCTATTCTACGTTCCCTTCTCCCAACGAAGGCAGAAACGACCGACCAGCCGCCGGTGTGCTCCTTCGGCCAGGCCGATGCGACCCGACCACCGGTCGCGGCACGGACCGAGCACGGCGGAAAGAGCGCGAGGGGAACCGGTGGACCGGGCGACCGGCCGCTGGCTGTGTAGGGTGCGTGATGGGGTGTAGGGTGTGTGGGAGTTGTAACCATGCTTCACAGGTGTGAGAATGGTAACCGCTTCAGGGCCTGAACGACCCATGGTGTGAACCTGGTGGATGGCTTGAACGATCCATGCCCCAGACGTTGGGTTTGATCGAACACAGATCGTATCGTTGTTTGGTTCTATCATGCAGACGGTGAATGGATGAATTATGATGAATTACTGTGCCCCTTTTTGAGAATCAGAACCAGGTTCACGCTCCAACGTCAGTTTGTATGATCAACGATCAACAGTTGCGGTTGCTGGTTTCAGGAGGAAAACCAGCCTTGACTTTCCTACTGAACTGCCAGCCGTCAGCCGTTTGCGATTCAACGTGGCCTTGGATAGAGTCTAGAGCCAATTCCCGTGCTGCAGGCGGGCATTTGTTTGGGGGGACAAATTGGCAAGGTGGCAGTTTCTGGCTTCAGTGACAGCTGTTGTCAAATTGCCACAAAGGCAAAGATCAAGGTGTTCCACATGATGATTATGATGAGGATGTGGGCCCATCTCCTTCAGTAGCGCTGTTTCCCTTCACTGTGCAGATGCTATGGAAATGATGAAGAAACACTCGCTCACTCACTCAGTTATCAGTCAGTCACTCACACACCCAATCACCATTGCAGGACCTGACAGAGGAGAATGACAAGAATAGGCATGTGCTGGAGAACTCATACTCCCTCTGGAACTGACACACAAGTCCGCAGAAGAAGGGTAGTTGTTTTTGAAGTCCGCTACAAGTCATAATATAGTATACAGGGTTGGTACAGTGAACAGGAATCACTGGAAATGAAACTGGTCCTAGAAGAAGGTGACTTACCCTTCTTGAGAAACAAAAAGCATGAAAAAACAAACTGACACTACCACCGCGAACCACCAAAACAACACAAATTCCATTGGTTTTGAACTAACTATGGTGCAAGAGGTTTTCCTTCATTAGCGCACATGAATGTAACGCGGGAGCGCGCGTGACTTTGCCCGCCGAGCTGCTCTGCTGCTCGCGGGTGAGGCATGTCGAAGAGCGGAACCGTTAAGACCTGGAACGATGAGAAAGGCTTTGGATTCATCGGCAGGGAACCCTGGGAGATTCTCGCAGACTCGCTCTTCACGGCGGTGGAAGATATATTTTTTTCCGCGATATGTGATGCAAACTGGCGTGATATGATCTGTGGTGGAGTGTTTTGTGTTTTTTTGACGTTGGTGGTTTGCGGGCATGGGTATCAAAATGACAGTCCAATATATAAGGATCAAACATAAATTACTATCCTATTATCAGGATCAAAAGATTCTCATCATCAAAAGTCTATTAGGAAGGAAAGAAGGAAGAAACGAAGCAAGGAAGGAACGTCCAGGAAGCAAGCCCTAGATTGAAAAGAAGGGTATTGTATTGTGTCAAAGCACTTTTCAAAACAACCCATGGGTCAATTCTAGGAACAGAACAGGGCTTCGCTATGGCTGAGCCCAAGGACCTATTCGCCCAGACACAACATGCTTGCTAACCTAGATGGTCTCTTTCTTCAAACATCTTCAAACCATTTTCCTAGATGGCTCACCTCGTACTTTCGTTTCTCGCAAATGGTCGACTGTTTTTTGCTGGGCAAAAAAGCCCGCAACATTTGCACCGGGATTCCGATCTTGTCTACTACGAAATCCGTGGCTGAGAGTGGAACCGGATCCGTGAGAGTGGAACAACGAAAAACTCATGGTTTGGCTGCAGTCATGGGGGAGGCCAACAAACACACAACAGGCAGCAAAAACCTAGAAATGTATAGAAATGTTTTGTCCTGTAATAGTTATACATGACCTGCTTTCACACGGAACCCCTACTCCATGTTACGCTTTGGTGGCTCGAGAACGCAATTAAAGCTTGCAGTGATCATAACCTGTCACTGTGTAAAGATTACTGACAGGAGCGACAGCTATAATTAGATTCTTTTTGTGTGCTGCTGGTTCTGCCAGAAAGCACAGTCTTTTTGGAGCCGCCGGCTTTGCATGCTGGGGGCAAGTGTTTGTGTGCGAAAAGTCTTGGACAAGCTTTAGGCCGTTGCACTCTCTTTCAATTCCGGTTTAGGAAAAATATTGTTTTTTTTTAGTTTCATTGGTATTTTTTAGATCCTGATAATTGTTTGGTTTATCCTCTTATTTGGTTTGCGCCCCCGACTGCTCGACCCGGGTGGGGAAAAGAAAGAACCATCAAAAAGAGGGCTAGTTCTCTCCGACTAGTTCTGCTGACTGTATACCTGGACCTTCAAAGAGGTGTCCTGCCTGGAGATCCATAGGTAGTGTAGGGGCTTCCAGCAGGTGACCCCTTTGAAGGTGCTGGTATTATATATATATATACACTGTCTCATGTTCGTTTCTTGAAGGGGCTTAGGCTTAGGCCAAGGAGTGTTGGTGTTGTCCCACTTCGGCTGCCCACCCAATACCACCGCCCCCCAAGTCCCAGGGTGGTCTGACACTTGTTATATTTTTGTCGAAGGTCTCCATATGCACATGGAATTCTATTCATTTCCATGCTGGAAGGATTCCTGCGAAGTTCACCGAGAGCATTTGTGTTGATAACAGAAAGACCTTTGCATGGACTGGCAGTGGGGGACCGCAAACGTGAACGTGTATGATGTCGACACCGGATTAATCAACCCCCCCCTTCAAGGTCAACTAGGTCAACAAGGTTTGGGATTGGAAGGATTGGAGACCACATCCCCTTAATAAAGATGATGACCTGATGATGGATGATGAGATGAGGACCTGGACCTGATGATGGATGATGGTTGATGGGATTCTGTGGGAATCATGAGAGTTTGAACCATGAGAACCATGAGGGCTCTGAGTGTATTGGCAGAAGCTTGATAAGAGATAGGATAGATCAGAGAGCCATGCCAATTGGATCATTGCATATCAGAGCATGGAGGATGAGGAATCGAAGGTGGAGGCTATTTGTGGTGAGGGTGGATCCATGGACTGGATGGTCAGATTGGTGGCCTGTGGAGAATGTGTATGACCTTAAGCCTTATGTCCTTCGACACCCAATGGGAGAGGGATCAGAAGATTCAAGATGAGTACAATAGTATGGGCCTTCCAATATGGGGGGGAGCAGACGGTGAGATGATGATGCATTGGCTTGATGAAATTGGTGCCATTGTGGTTGAGTGAGGAATTGGGTGGGTGAAGCAGCTAGAGGGGGAAGATGGCAGCATTGGCTGAGAAGACGCAGGCAGCCAATAAGAAGATGACCAAGATACAGGAGGATGCTTGGAAATTGGTGAATGAGGGAGGTGTTTTGAGGTGGAAGAGCTCCCATCAGCTTGTTTGAAACCCAAAGCCAAGATTGAGTTGGATGGATTGGGGTATGCAGCAAGTGCAGGTATGCCAGTGGGTGTATGGACTGCAATGTGTGGAATTGCACAGCCTATTGGATGAGGAGGGAAAGAGGCTGGGGAGGAAGATCGCATATGAGTATACATTGGCTGCACAGATTGCTGCTGGGAAGGATAAAAAGAGCAAGCAGAGTGATCAGAATGATTGGTGGATGAGAGGATCAGCATGGGAAAAGGGTTGATCAGAATGCTATCTCTCAAAGAGGTGGCATGAGAGAAGATCAGTTTCACCATGGACCAGAAGATTTTGGATACCGTCCAAAAAGAACATATTAGTTCATAAATTAAAGCCAATTTTATATATTTCTGGGGGGAGCTGGGCTTGATTAATAGGGGAAGGTTTCTGCAAGGAAAAGGAACTATTAGGGTGATGTACCAGGGCTTAAATTAGTTTGATTTATAGGGGGTGTTACTTAATCCTCTTTCAACATTGAAGGTGTCGCTGCAACTTACAAAGGTACAGTCAAGGGCTCGTGTGACAGGACCAACCAAAAAAATTAGGATTCAACATTGTTCTATAGAAACTAAGGCTTTCCTGAACATGTCCCTGCATATAGATAGAAATTTGTTTTCTGTTTGTGGTGCCCGTCAACCTCCAAAATCATCCGCATCCATCCGCGAGCGCCACCCAACTACCGCACATGCTTCGGCCTGAGGTCCAGACGATGACGGGGAGGATTTGTTCTGCCACCGTTCTGCCCTCAATGGACTCTTGGTAAAGCAAAAACGCCGAGAACAACCACTTAAATCTCTCTCTAACAGCGACAGGCGCATGAAAGCGCATGTGGCAGCGAAAAACATCAGCCGGTTGAAATCGCATGTTCGTCAGCACAATGCCGATGACAATCATTTGGGGCCAGAAAGGCAGACGGCACAATCACGGGACGTCCGGGAACTCGTTTTTTCGGCGCCAAACGCACGAAATCCATCATTTGAGAGGCGCCAGGCGCGGGTCTAAAGAGGTGTTTTCGGAGATGTTTGATGATTTGCATTTGACTAAAGTGATATTCAAGTCATCTATTGATCAACACTCACTAATTGTACTACAGCTTCACCACTATATAAACAATTTGGCAACACAAATCTACATGCAGAAAGGATCATATTAAGATGTTCGGGCATGTTCGGGCCTGATTCTTTCCAGTGCCACAACCACTGTTCTAAGGTCTTGTTCTGTGAGTAGTGAAACGTTGTGAGACAATTGCACCCTCTTTCTGTCATGTCAGTCTTTGTTGAAAAGCTCTTCCACTCAGGATGCAAGGGCCTTGGGAAGGGGGACAAGGTGCGTTTTGAAGCGGAGTACGATGACCGGAAGGGCAAGATGCGGGCGGTGAACGTGCCACTCGGCGCGTTTGAACGAGCCGGGCGGTGAAGGGTAACAAAACGGCAACAAAACGGTGCCACAGGGTTGGAACGGGCTTTTGGGGGATGATGTTTTCTTGTTTGAAGTCTTCTTACTTGAAATATCTTCAAATTGATGTTAATGGAGGGAATCTTAGGGTCAAAGGGAACTTACATAGGTGCTATAGGATACAACATGATAATATATATGATGTATTGTGTTTTTTTTTGTTTGTTGTTGAAGTGCTTTATTAGGGTTTTGTGTTTGTTGTTTATTTGTTCTATTATATATGTGTACTATTATGTTTTTGGTTGTTGTTGTGTTCTTTTCCAGTGTGGGGTAGATACAGGTGATGCCACATATGCATACATATGCATGTTTAAAGCATTTAGCACATGTTTTGATGTGGGCAGCAGATGCAAGTGATGAAACATATGCATTTTACTAGGGGGTTGGCACATGAACATGCAACAAATACTGCAATTTACAATGTTTTATGCACACTAGCGAAATTTGCATCCCTAGGAACACCCCTTCTGTATATATGTCTAGGCTATAGGGTTTGTCCTATTACCTGCAACAGTCGGCCAACCAGCAAATCACTCTTTTCGAGAAAGGCATTTACCATCCATCCATCATCCATCATCATCCACTGTTACTGGTGGAAATGTCCACTATGTGCATCCGACGAAGATTTTGGCTTCGCAAGGTCTGTGGAGGGCGGCGGCGGTGGCGGTGGCTATGACGACCGCCGCGACGACCGCCGCCGCGACGACCGCCGTGACGACCGCCGCGACTATGACCGCCGCGATGACCGACGGGACGACCGGCGCGACGACCGGCGAGACGACCGTGGCGGAAAGGGCAAAGGCGGAAAGGGTGGCTTGTTTGGCATGAGAGGGCGGAGAATGGGCAGAGAATGGGCGGAGCTTAAGGGATACCATGTCTCAATATTAGACATTCCTTTACATACTAGGTTGATTTTTGCTTGTATGTTTTTGTACCATGTTGTGGTTGTTGGGTAGGAGAGGTAAGCATGGCAAGAGTTCATATTCTATAATTAGGCGCCAAAGGCTCCGGCCAGAACTTTCTTCAGAATTTGCCGGAAGTGACATTCAAAAGTGATGTGAATCTGGTGAATGTTGTGCACCACAAAAACATCGTAGGAATGATTTGTTGTTGTATGTTGTCGTTTTTCGTCTTTTGTTCATGCCTATGTGTGTTGTTTCATGTTTAAGTTCACATACATATCAACAAACGATCATCATATCAACAAACGACTAGTTTTATAGATCATATCACTTCAAGTTCACCGTTCTTTCGATCAGTCCCGGTTCGTCCGTTCCTTCGATTGCGGCGTCCCCGGTGGGGCGGAACCAGCCGGTGATGGACTCTGTCCGGAACCATCTCTTGTCCCCCAACATGCAGACATGTGGGGCTTCTGTAGGAATCAGATAGTAAACCAGCTGCCAATCATACCCAAATAGATTCAATGGTGAAATCAACCTTATTATTGTATTGTGTTCACCTTGATACGCCATACTATTACTATCTATATATTACTTGTGTACATCTCAGGCGGCGGCGATCGCTTTGGTGGAGACAACCGTGGGGACGACATCAGCAATGGCGGCAACAAGCACTTGACAGCGCGCGAGTTGTTCATGAGGCACCCATCCTGGCACCGATGTGTTTCTCCCTCGGCACCGGTGTTTTTGTTTCCCCCCCAAAAAGAAGGACATCAAGTCCCAAGTATCGTTTGTGGGATTGGTTTGTGGGAACAAGTCACTTGACGAACGACTGTGTCGATGTGCGACATGCTTTCGACTGGAGGATTTCCATGATGTTTCATGCTGTGCACAATGTGTGAATCATTAACAGTCGGAGAGAACACAGGAGGGAGCAAGGTCCCGGATTGGCACAGTCGGAGTCATCAAGCCGAGAATTTATCCGACGGTTCGCAAGAGTGATTACAGCAATTGGATCGGCTTTATGATGTTTGTGTTCTGCTGTCACACAACCAGGGAACTTGGACGTACAGGACATAAGCCACAGCTCGGGTCAGAACTGGTTTCGGAGCTCTACAAAGGTCAATGGATCAGTCGCGAGGGGTTCTTGGCGGTTGCGGTTCTGTTCTGTGGCTCTGACGAAAGAAGGGGGACTAGAATGTGAATTGCTATGTCATTCCATTAAAAATACAGTGCAGGATTAAACAAGTAAGTCTCCGGGCCTGAAGCTCAGAGCCTCTATCTTGGGGGTGTCCCATTACCTGTAACAGTATGTAAACAATTATCACTCCGATAAAGAAATGCCTGCAACCTAACCATCACCATCCACTGAAAAAAGGGGAATATATGCTATAATACCCAACCTTTGTCTACCAAGGTGTCGACACTTTCCTACAAACATGGTGCTCCATTTCTTGGTGCCCTTTCTTTCTTTGCGACAAGGTCCGTTGACAGCCTCATCCAGGGGCCGTGGATGTGACGACTGGGCAGTCTCCTTTTTTTCGGGACCGGCACCCCGAGGGGTGGAACTGCTGGATCAAGTACAAGTGCCAGACGCTCCATGGGACTGCCGTAGGACTGCCGATCAGTTGGGGTGGTGGTTTGAGGGGGGGTCTTTCTGGGGTTGGCATCTATTCCAGTCCCATGGAGCCCATATGGGAGCCTCTAAAGCCTCCGCCAACTCGCAGGCACGAGCGCGAGAAGCGCAGCAGCCGTCGCTCCTCTTCGTCCTCGCGCTCCCGATCCCCCCCGAGGCACGACGGCACGAGGGGGACATGGTCAAACAAGCGTCCATGGACACAACAACCGGCTATATGAAGCTATATGATACAATGGTGAGCGGACACAACAACAACATAAACAACAAACTAGATGTTTGATGTCTAATATAAGCTTGAGGTTGTTTTCTTGATTATTGTTTTTCTGTACATAATATGTGGAAAGAACACGCACTGATAATGTAAGGTTTTGCGATATGTTGCACAATAATTTGTATAGTCTGGGGATGTTTGGGGTTTGTTTGTAACCAGGAAGGTCATGTAATTTTCTTCTGAATGTCCAGCCTATATGACTGTAGTTTCACTTCGACGCATAGGAACTTTGCAAGCACAACAAACAATACATACAAAACCCTTGTTTGTATCAGCGTGTTCAAAGAAATTGAAGGCGTTTTACCCCAACACAGTATAATTATAGATGTTGTTGTTGTTGTTGCTGCCGTTGTTCCATCCTTTCGCTTTGACAGGCTTTTGTGGTTTTGGCAAAGATCTTGATTTGAGGAGTCTCACATAGTCTCACAAGTACCGGGATTAATGACGCTGCCGACGCTGCCGAGTCCATTCTCTTTCTTGGGACTATCAAAGTAATGACATAATATGACATATATATGAAGAAGCCGGTACTCAGTCAAAGATGGTTTGGGCAGCTTCGAAATGAACCCATGCTGACAACCTGCCACACCAAACTAGCTTGCAGCTTGCCACGATATTCGTCATGACGAAACCTCCGACGCCGCCGGGCCCCTCAAAACCACAGGGATTGGTTCGGTCGGGTCCCTCCTCTACTTTGCGGGGTCCAGGGTCGCGTTTGGGCGGGAACTTTTTGGTCTAGGTGACTTTTCCGACCTTGTGTCAAACGGGGGCTCGTATGTGTCGAGATGTCCGAAGATCAGATTACCCTCCGACTCCTAAGATGGAAGTGAAAAGACAAGTTGTGGACGTGGAGGAAACACATAGGTCTTCTGAACCGCTGATTTCCCGAATTCTGAGCATGCTGCTTTCCCCTAGGTATAGGGGGAATCACCCTCTTTCTTATTTTAGGGGAATCGCACATATCGCAGCACTTGGTCAGAGTCCCGGTCCAGGCCGAACCCTAGATCCGCTGCATTGAGCTATAATGAATCGTGCTTAGTCTTCGTAGCGAACCCAGTTTTACTTACTGTAGTAGAGTATTGGTACATGGCTGCTTTTCCCAACATGCGCTAGAAACACCTGGCCGCTGTCGTTACTGGTCAGGCGCCGCGAAAACTTTGCCTAGTTGCGATGCCTTAATTTATGAAATGATCTGTGGAGGCTGGGGCTGCCTTCAGTCAGCTTTGTGAGTCTTTGATAGCCAGTTGCATGTGGGGGGGTGCTATCCTTGGAGGATAGGGGTACTTCATTGGACGGGTCCAAAAGCCACTCCACCATTCGGAACTGCTGGTTTTCTTTTTGTGCATCCCATGCATGTACTCCTGGTGCTTTGTGGAGAATCATTTGTCTTTTGACGGATATCCACAATATCCGCTGAAAGAGATACATGGCAGCCAACTGGCAGTTACTCAAGACTCTTGCATACTGTGATTGCATATGATTGCATATGAACGAGGATTTTTTTGAAGTCTCCACCAGTGCATTCATCCAGTCATCTCATCGCACCTAACTGGGTCCGATGGAAGTGAAAGCGAAATGCGTGACCTCACGACCTCACGTGCCTAAGTGCTTTCAAGGAAACATACTAACAAACAATAGTAGAAGTGAAGACATGGACTAAAACTGAAAGCCATGACCAAACCCGCCAGTCTGACGTCTCCCTATGCTGATACGAGTTTTGTGTTTTTTGCTGCGAAGTCTCCGGCAGATGAGTCAATTTCTTTGCTGAGCTCTGGTTGGTCTCAATACAATGGTTATTTCCCTAGGGCTCCTGTCCCATATCCTCAGGTGGTCAGACCCCCCTGGCACCTCCAACCACCCTGGAGATGTGGGGCAGGAGCCCTAGGGTTTCACCACCACAACAGGGGAACCATGGGGGGGCCATGGGAGTCGACATGCCTCTCGGCACCACTGAGTTTGCAGCATCAGTTGCCCACCCAGTTCGCAGCATCTCCAGAACTCCCTCACAGTGATCATTCCAATGTCCAATTCCCACGGCATGCCTCAACCGGTCTCAGTCGCTGCCCAGGCCACGAAAAAGACCTCACGAAAATAGAAGACCGGACGGCGAATTTGGAAGGGATCGTTGATCCCTTTTTAACCATGCAGGCGAGCGATAGCATGCAACAGCCACAGCAAAAGTTCCGTGGCCGGTGCCCATGGGAAGGGGCCGTTGTGTAGGTGCAGGACTAGCTGTGAGATTTGAGTGCAGCTGTACAGCTGCATTGCTACAGGAGATTAACAGACAAGCACGACGCACAGTCAATTTGGGCATTGTGGCCTGCCTTCGTTCCATCTGCTACATGGCAGGCAGTAGTTTCATGCCGCTAATTTGTGCCATCACCCGAGGCCACAGAAGCTCATTATGAGCGCATCACGTGAGCTACATCCTACTATTTGAATGTTATATCCTATTCTGGAATTTGCTATGCTTCATATCAACAGAGAGTACAGAATATGTGAGAAACCACTCTTTCCCTTCTTTACTAAATGCAGTCTACTACATGCTCTAATTATTTGTTTGCCCCCCAAAAATGTATTGCTGGTGAACGAGATAGGCCCCCCCAGATAAACCAAGATACATTTTGGTTGATGACACTACAGTCGTTTGCACGAAACACTGATTTACTACTGTAAAGTAGTCTGAACGAGATACTAAACGAGATAGGGCCGAATAAATGCTGCCCCAATATAATGTATATATATGTTCCATGTGACATGTAGTCCTAAAACCGAACGCGCCGAGAATGTTGGGAACAAGAATCCGGAGACTCATCCTGGCTTCGAAGCTTGGAGGAGTGCATCCCGGTGACGCATCACATGTAAAATGTAAACAGGGTGGTCCAAATCCAAGCTTGGAGTGGGAGATTGCCTTGCTATCATCTGCCATAATTCTCATATTGACCCCTTTACTAAAAGAAGGGAAAGCAAAACAAGCTCTTTGACCCATATATGTTGTTTCTCTTGACATGCTTCGATTCTGTGAGACGACTGGAAAGAAAACGATGGGGTGACTGACGGTGACTCCTGGCTCTGCTGGTCGTGGTGTGTTCTTTTTTTTGTATCTCTTGTGTGTTCGGTGTTTTTTGCAACTCTAATACCCATTGTCATTTTGGAAGATACCCAGATGCAGCATGATGCAGCTGGAATTTGCTTTATGCTCGTGTTTTTGCAAGGGTGAACCTGCCAAAACAGGACAGGCTGTTCAAAAGCATTTGTTTCTGACAAGCGAGACGTGCTTCGGGTGGCTTCCAGTAGTCTCAGATGCCGGTTCCTAGAGCAATAAGAACCTGTAAAATCGTCGTTTCGGACTGAAATCATCCACCGTTTCTTCATTCAACATGGTGTTCTTTCTAAACCAGCGTTTGTGGTTTGGCGGATTTTAAGAACCCGAAAACCCATAGAACAACTGTAGAAACCGGTCGCGACCGGTTAAAAAGAACACTGTAAATCATGGCTAAAGCATCAAGTGTCCAAGCAAAAATCAAGCAACATATCAGCGATATCAGTGTGTTTCTTTCAACACAAAACATAATGTTCTCCTTGGGTATGACGTTTTTACAGGTTCTTGTTGCTCTAGGTTCCATGCCAGTAAGGTTGGAGAAAGATGCGATGTCCGATGGATTGGGGGATTGGGTGAAAGGCTCGAACCAGAAGCCAGAACCATAGTGATGGAAAGGAAGCGAAGCAGCTGACTAGAGGATATCCTGCCTGAAATAGAATCGATGCTTAGAGATTTTATATGTATATATAAGCAGCTGGTAACTACTCCTTCAAGCTATATAGATGGTTTCCGGAGAAACAGTTCTTTTCTTCCTCCACTTGAAGACACCACCGATTTCCAAGGGTTCCATGCGTGAAACAACGGTGCCAAAGCCTCACTTTCACCACCTTCGGTTCCTTCGCGGCCGGACCCTTCGGCCGTTCCGGTGGAGTTGGCTCAATCCCTGGGGGTGGCCCCTCTGCGCCCTTCGTCCGCCTTAGAACAGTTAGGCGGGGAATGGTCGACCGGAATGGGGTGGAACGGGTTCCATGGCGGGAAAAGAGCAGGTTTTGGGCGGCTATATAGGTGGAAAGGGGTGGACGTTTTTGGACATCGATTTAGTAGTATAGAGATATAGATTAGAGATAATGAGATAACACATATAATGTATTATAGGCATTGTATACGTCAATGTGTTTCTTATTGTTTCTTGGGGGGTTCTTCTATCTAGGGGATCATGATAAGATTGAGAGAGTGCATTAGGGCGCAACATTGCCTTCCGTCACACGGTAAGATTGCTGATCAAGTTTGCTTCTCCCAAACACTCCAAAGCGAGGGGTTTGATCCCACGGGTGGCCACGCCTCACTTCAGCTTGAATCGAACGAGAAGGCATGTTTTCAGTGAGAAACACCTCCAGCTCCATGCAGTTCGAAGCTGCCCCCCTCTTCCCCGGCACCAACGCCCGCTCGATGATGTAGACCCGGACCTTTCAGAAAGGGTCGCACCTTGCGCTGGCGACCTCGCGCGGTCGGCTGGGTCGCAGGCGGAGACTTCGGCGTGGGACCCATGTCGAAGAGCGGCACCGTCAAGACCTGGAACGACGACAAGGGCTTCGGCTTCATCGGTCCGGACGACACAAGGGCGACGGGTAGACGGGAGAGGAGACGAGGAGAGGGGGAGCAACATGGCAACATGGAGCAAGTCAGAGCAAGTCAGTCCGGCTGAAGCTTTCTTTCGTCGGGATTTGGGGGGGTGGAAGAAGACGGTCAAAGGGATCTGTTGTATTCGCGAGAGAGGGCTCCCCGTTTTTGGCGGGGAAAAAACAAACATGTATAGGAAACACATCTGAGGGTGGAGATTCTTACAAAGGAGTGTGATGTTTTTGGTGGCTTTTTGCTCAAAAGCGGGTGCGCTTTCCTGACTTGAACGCTTTCCTGACAGAAGCACGCAGGTCCTGAGGATGGTGGAGAGGACCTATTTTGCCACACCTCATCCTTGCGGGGATGCAAAGGCCTTGGAAAGGGAGACAAGGCCAGGAACCATGCCGTTCAGAATGGATGGATTGGGTGGATTGGCCATGGGTGGTGCAGCACTCATGGGGTGTGCTGGAGCGGTGGGCCGTTTGCAGGGTGTCCGGTTGAAGATGGAACCAACCCAGGCAGGTTGCAATAACTGGCTAGACTTCAACGAACATGGACATCAGTGACATATTTCAATATGGAGAAGAGATGATCTGTGTTTTTGGAAAGTGGTGAGCTTTCCTATAGCGGTAAATGTGGTCCGATGCACTGAGCATGTTTTGATGTGCAGACCTGGGCCCACTGGGCCCTAGACCCCCGGTCTGGCTTTGGTCATCTGGTTTGGGCAGAGCTCGAAAGTCGGTTGGCAGGTGTTCATTTCCTGGTGAGGTTGCCAGATGCCTTGAGCAACTTAATACGGGAACTGATGGTTTTTGTTTGGAATGTGTTGGAGTTTTAACCACTTTGACTCACAAACAATAGCCTGGCAGTGGTCCTCACTTGATTGCTCACATCGAGGTCACGTTGTGGGTCAAATGACCGTAGGCCCTGTGCGCCATGTGGACGGGGCAATGACCAGGCAACAGTGTTGCCCGACCCCCCCCACAGGCTTCTTTCTGAATTTCGAAGGATCAAGCACCAGATAGCCCCATAGGGCCCCCCATACATTTCCTAGAAGGGACGCAACAAAGTAAAGGAAACTCCATTTCGGCTCACTTAAACAATGTCAATGATTGGTCTTGAACTTCCAATGCATTGGACTAACGGCTTCATTCGAATCATTCGAATCTGTCTTCCCCCCCGCACAGAGATCGCTCGCTCGGCCCCCCATGCTGCGCTCGGTGTTTTCTTTCCCCTTCAACCCTTCGGCGACGAACGGAACCGGCACGACCGGGCCACGGAACGACCGGGCCAGGTGCGTTTTGATTCCGAATATGATGACCGCAAGGGCAAGATGCGGGCGGTGAACGTGTCCCTGGAAGGAGGCCGTAGTGTGGTGTTTTCTGCGACCGCCGTAGGTTTCGACAGACTGCACTTCTCGGTGGGGTAGGCGGTTCCGGGACCGCCGCGTTTCAAGCGGATGTTGTGGGTGGATGTTGGATGCCAAGCATGTGTTTTGTGTTTGGATATTTAAATGTTCAGACGATCACGGAATGCAATGGAATGCATTGTTTTGATACCCAATGATAATAGACCCAAGATACATTAGAGACGTGTGAAACGGTTTTGCAAGTGACCATGAAATCCCCATTTGAATCCTACAAAACACAAATAGCGTTTAAGCTGAATTCACGCTTGTGCAATGCAGTGCCACATGCACCACCCCTAAGAAACAATGGGTCACTGAGCACTGTGTGACCTTAACCGTTCATCGCGCAGGCGGCGGCGGTGGCGGCGGTGGGGGCTACGACGACCGCCGCGACGACCGTCGCCGGGATGACCGTCGCGACTACGACCGGCGCGATGACCGCCGGGATGACCGTCGCGACTACGACCGGCGCGATGACCGCCGGGATGACCGTTGCTCGGACGCAGAAGCTGGTTGTCGTACCTGTTTGCATTTTCGTTGGACTCGGAATGAAGTTGTCCTTAAAAGATTCATTAGGGATGATCAGAATGAAATAGTCCCAATAAATGATAATAAATGTAAACTTCAAGTTGGAACTGTTGTCTCTCTATGACAAAATAAGGCTATGGGCGGGATGACCGTGGCGGAGGCGGAAAGGGCAAAGGCGGCAAGGGCAACCTGGCAGCACCTATTGAAGTATCGTTGTGTTTGTTTCTCGATACATCCTGAATCTGAAAGACATTCATTGAGAGAGTTTCCCTTGAACATTGGGCCAAACAAATTGTCCTAACAACTTCACGGCCAGTACCACCTCGGACGCCTTGCACCATGTCTTTTCCACGTCGAAACTCTCGAATCCGCCGAGGTGGTGGGGATCGCTTCGGAGGTGACAACCGCGGGGACGACATTAGCAACGGGGGCAACCGACACTTGACGGCCCGCGAGCTCTTCATGAGGCGCCTATGGCCTCTATTCGTTCCGAACGAATGGCGAGCGCTCGAGAGGGCCATGGTTCCAAGGGGTCCTGAGTCGTGATATGCCCATATGCTCCATGGGACTGCCATACATGCCTATACATTGACCCCTCTGGCACCACCCCAACTATACCAAAGATCAAAAAGATGGGTCAAACACGTGTCACACGCAGTCAACCGCGCTCTCCCGTCCTTTTCTCCATGTGAAGGGTCGACCGTCCGGTTCGACCGTCCGGTAGAGTTCGGAGTTGGGTGCTTTTTGGGTCGTTCGCATGGTCAAACACATCACGAGAGCGTCACAAGAAGGTCGTCCTTCTTCGACGTCCCCAAGGTCGGAAGCGAAGAAGTCGTCGACGACCGGTGGCCGTGTTTCAAAGTCTCGGTGCATGTGGTTTTCACCTGTTGGCTTGAACTTACGTACCCTACACCTCCAACGACCTCCCGAGGTTCGGTGGTTGGGGTGGGTGCCAGGGAGGTCTAACCGAACCTGAGGAGATGGGACAGGAGCCCTAGGGGTAGATACTTCTTTTAAAGAACATGCTCAAGGCTCTTGACCCAAATCCCACGTTCTGTTTTCATGTTTGATTCAGGGTCGTGATTTGATCAAAGAGTTTGATTTGCTCGCGTGGTTTTGACGAAGTCAAAGAGCAGGCTCAAAGCTGAGGTTCCCAATCTCCTCCCAGATTTTGATGTGTGATCCGATTGGTTTAATTTGCTTTCTACAGATGCGTGACCAATTGTCTCTTATCTTTTGTACATATCACAACGCCAAGATTGAGACCAAACCTTAATTTAATATAATTTATTGTCTCATATTCTTTTCTACAATATGTGTATATATAGTATACCCTCGGAGTCAAAGGACATCAGAGGACTATTAATTCTAGTCGTTCCAGAAAGACGTTTGTTGGTCGATGGTCGATGGGAATCATGCCCATCACTGTCACCCAGATGTTGGTAGCAACTGCTTGCTCCCAGATCAAGCAATTCTTTTCCACTTGTCTAAGCTCGTCCCTGCGCCGGCCACCACAAACATGTTCCACCTCAGACAAGTTGCAAAAGAACCCATGGGCATCATGGGCACCATGCACATCATGGGCACCATATACTCATAGAGTTCTATCCAGGTAGCTGGCACACGTTGTGGCACACGTGTCCCACATCCTTGATTCAAAGCGTTCTCAAAAGCAGACCAAACACGCTGCACGGTCTTAGCAAAACACGCTGCTTGTTTGCACCTGCAACGACCTCGGTCAGGCATGAGCGCGAGAAGCGCAGCAGCCGTCGCTCCCCGAGCTCCTCGCGTTCGCGCTCACCACCGCCGAGGCCAGGGGTTGGAAGGACAGGACTGGTCAGAGAATCAGTATGTAACAGTATGCTACGTAGGTTGACCAGGTAAATGACCAGGTATACATGTATTTGCTTTGGGTATTCTGGTTGTGAAGCTTGTAAGATATTGATCCATGGTTATCATGGGTCATTCTTTGAGTGCCTCTCATCCAGTGACAGTGAAGTCTGAGCAGTTCCATGCAAACAAGAGTAAACAAAGTCCACCATCCTGGCCCTTCGTCGTCCCGTTCGGCTGCTTTTGCCGTTCGGGTGATGTTGACTTTCACGAGTGAACCGGGGTCCTGGGATCGATGGTTTGTTACGTTACTTCTTCGGCTCCTGTACAGCGAATCCAAGTGAAAACTCAGTATTTGTCAAGGGCTCCCCTCATTTAAAGACTCATGTTCTTGTACGATTTTGTACGTCCCCAAATAAATGCAGCATCAATTTGCCTTCTTACAGATAGCTTGCACCAAAAATACGCCCAAACGAGCTCAGACACCTCTCGCATCATCCTTCGCACGCACGTGGTCCGGGATTTCTTGGGACCCCACGCACGCGTCCGCGTCGGTAAGCCTCGCGCCAGGGAACGCGGCAGCCGCGCCAACTTCAACTGACAGAAAGAAAGATGCTTGGATTCCGATGCAGATGGGGTGCACACTTATCCATGATCGACGATTTTCATGACGTACAGCAAAGATGTTGGGCCTGGGTCTAGACCATTCTAGACCATCCTAGACCACTCTCATTCTTTTTCAGGTTGACCATGTGAATCCTTCAATATCCACTCCGTAAACTTCATAGCTGAGGGAGGCTGTTTGGAATGGATACTTTCGTACTGCGCGAGTTTTGGGCTGCTTTCAGCGCAGATCCACTGCCAGAGCTGTGACCTTCACCTTTCGTTCAGTCTCGCCCACTGAACCCTGAGCAGTTTTCAGGATCAATGTAGACTCTTGATTTGTAAACACCCCAAAAGAAAGGATGTCCAATTCATCTGGGGGGGGAGTTATGAATCGAGAGTCGATGTGATGTTGTTCTGGCGGTTGGACAGGGAATTAACCGCATCCCAGGCAGGACAGGGCGTGTTCTCACACCTTGAAAACATTATGATAAGCATCCTTATATATAAAGATTTATACATGTTTCTAAGTAAACATAGACATTTATCCTTCAGATCATCTTAAAGCAGTTGGATGAGTTGATTGACCTTGAGTGCAGCCCCAGGATCAATGGATGGAACAATAGCCGATGTCGCAGCTCGCCGGCGCAGCTGCTGTCCGCTGTCCAGGGCCGTAAATGACCGGTGATAGGCAGAGATGTGAGGGTCCACCCGAGCAAACAACTCTCCACTGCGCCAGCCAACACCATTGGGAAGAGATTCAGCGAGCAGGCCAGGAGGGGCCTAGATTCTAGCCATGTTGCGTTTGATAATGTTTGATAGTTTGATTGCTAAGAAGATCTTTCAGAGAAAGAAGCAATACTGAAGAACTCTGGCAAAGCAAAACATGGGAAACATGCTAAGTTTATAAACTCCCAAACATGAAACCACGAATCGCTATATGCTACAACGATCGTTTCGTGCAGTCTGCCAGCGCCGTCATTTGTCCTGGAAGCCGAATGTTGTCTGAACTCAAACAGAGTCAGTGGTCATGGCTGAAGGTGGCTCAAACCTTAAGTCATCACTTTTCGACTGACTCGGCTTATTTATGTTCAATTTCTTTTGTGCCCTCTTTGATGCTGCATGCTGGAAGACAAGCGGCCAGAGGATTGTTGTGATTGCTCTCAGAAAGTCATGTTCAGCCGGAGTACTGAAGTGCTTTCAGCGCAGCCAATATTCTGAAGCCAGCCAGAGAGCTCAGGGCTGTTTCTGGGTGCGAAAGCTTCAACGCCAATGCGATATGTCCATGTTCCTCTACGAACAGGTGTGATGTGTCTGTATGTCCATGTGATGTGTTTGTCGGAATGCGCTACACATTCTTGTGCTTGGGTCGAACACAGAGATGTCCCTCATTGGAGCACCACTTTGTTCCGACTGTTCTTTCGGGCGGGAAAGACGTGGGTTGCACTGCTGTGCCTGCCGGACTCGAGAGACATGCACTGCCATTGTTGGAGAGACATCGCAGAAGGACAACATGGGGAACTTAATGGTCCCAGACAGGTTACCTTCTCATGTCTGGTCGTAGGGAAACTAACCCTTGCCCTTCCAAAATCAAACGGCTCAGAGAGACTCGAGTCTGTTCCTAAACGAACTGGAAAACGTGCCATCCATCGCACGAACCATGGCCTTTTCGCTTGCTGCAACAGGTCCGAATCATGTTTCGTCCGAATCTGTCGGGTGCTGTCCGACCAGGTCGACCGGCCATGGCAAAAGCCGCGTGTTTCCACGGTTGGAAAAGCACCAGGCGAAGCCACCAGCGACGTTCGCAGGCGGAGGATTCCACCCCAAACTGCCCGGAGTCTCTCGTAAATCTACGAGCTCTCCCTGCGTGTTCAGCATGGCTCTTGGCGAGACGACCATGGAATTTCAGACATCATTTGGATGGTGGATGATTTGGAGTAGTAGTATGTAGTAGTAGCAGTATATAGCTTTGACAGAGCAGCAGATCCGGAGTCTAGACGGGCCATGACAGGAATGTCCTTCTAAGCTCTGCGGGATCAGTTCCTAAACTTCTTTGTAGCAAGATACAGGCAGAGCCGCGGGCTCTCTGAGAGTATTTCACTGAATCCAGGCTACATCACATCCTACAAATCTGAGACTCTCCGACCCCGAAACATGTTGGCCGCTCGTCATGCTGATCAAAACGCGCTCCTGCAATACTCGACGGATCAATGCGCAATGAGGGAAATACACGGTCAGTAAAAAGCGGTGCATAGCGGCGCCTGGGGGGAGATGGCTCCCCCAACTAGTGTGGCTTGAAAAGGTTGGTGGCTGGGTTCTATTGGTTGGGCTGAAGGGGTTTGCCAGTGCAACATTGGCTTAGCTCAAATGTTCTCAAAGATGTTTATAGAAATTGATTGAGAAGTGCAGTCAGAGATTCTGAGATTCCATGAGCTAACAAAGCCTGACAAAAAACCTCCAGCTTTGGGACAAGAGGCCGCAGCTGAGTTGGACTTGTGACTAACTGGAAAGGAGAGGACCCTCAGCTCACTTCAGCAACCAGATGGGTACCAGGACCCTACACTAGGACCCTCCTGGCTGGACTAGGCCTAGGCCCTACACGACTATAGAGTTAATCTTAGAGGTGTCCAGTGGACACCCAGATGGTCGGATGCTCCAGGTGTTTGGAGTTTGAGGAGGTTTATGAGGCATTCCTCGCATCGAAAGCAACTCTTGGCGCCGGGTGTACTGTCTCTGACAGTGCGGAGGTTCGGTGTCCCTCGTTCGTCAGTGGGAGATCCCACCACCAAATGGAAGGTACGGTACGAGAGGCCGAGGCCACCTGGTTTTGGTTTTCAACTTGGTACCAAGTATCTACTGCATAGATCTGCTTGATTGACGGGTCTTTGGATCTCAGCAGTTCTTGTTTTCCCGCTGGTTGATTGGTTCATCTAAGAGGTTCGCAGGGTTCCGGCGCCGCGGGTGCTGCTAAAGCGACCCTCACGCAGGTACATGCTGAGAGCACTGGCTTCACATCTACTTGCTCCAGATCGACCCTCCCACGGTGCCGCGGTTTCTGAAGCAGTCTTGGTTTTCTGGATGAACTGGCCCTAGGGTGAAGTACAACACTTGCATCCTGGGAGTGCGTTTCATTGCGTTTCGACCTTTTTCCACCAGAAAGACCTCCATTTCAGCCACTCCAATGGCGAACTCATCACCCTTTGTGTCCGGCTGCTGGAGCGGCCCACATACCTCATGTCCGGCTGCTGGCTCGGCTTGAAGTGCCGGAAAGTGCCACTGCTTGCAGGTCAGGAAACTAGGCAACAAAACAGTTAATGGACACCCCTTAACACTATTAACAGCCAAGGCCAAGGCTATAAATACGATAAATAGACGCCCCTTGGAGGCTGGTATAGAAACCCAAGTTGAGGTCACTAGTCACAGGTCACTATAGTCACTACATGCAGTAGCTAATTATACGACTGCCTTGACGAACGGACCAAAAAGATCGGTCTCAGTCGCGCTGAATCGCGCTGAATCGCGCTGAATCGGTTGCACCGCGACCGCTCGGCGTCCTCCCTCGCTGCAGGGCCCAGCTTCGCCTCGCATTTGGCGGTACTCATGGACGATGCACGAGGAGGTGCGGTGAGGGTCACGTGTTCTGACTTGTGTGTGGAGGGCGTTAGGTGAGGGTGACAGGCATTGGGTGAGGAACAAGATGGAAGAATAGGAGAGTCATGGATGATGAGAGTCATCATGAGAGTTATGTGAGCTGTGAGAGCATCAGTCTAAGTGTGATGTGGAAGTTCACCTGCCAGGGTTGCTAGGGTCATTGTTAGGAGAATAGGACTTGCTCTCGAGCAGCTCCGGCTCTCTTATAATGCAGCTCTGAAGAGGCTCCTTCACTCTGAAGTCTTCGAACTGGTCTAGCTTCCAGGGTCTTCTCCGAACCAGCTCTTTGTCCACCTTCAATGCCTTTCCGAAGCGTGGCTTCCTCCGTTACCCGGCCGTGGCGTACGCCGCTCTGGAGTCGCTGGTTGCTGCCGCTGCCTCGCAGGAGCGCAGCTGAAAGAGTTGGGCCGCTGTGTGCGTGGCATCCTGGGCCTTCAGGCGTGGCATCCAGATGGGTCGGGTCGGGTCGGGTGGGTCGGTCTCCTGGTCTGTCGGATCGGGAGGACGGGAGCTTCAAAGCTTCAAAGAGGTGTAGATGAGTGTGCAGAGATGTGCAGATGATGGAGAGTATAGCATACCAGATGTATACAGTTATATCATTTAGTTTGTTCTATACAGATGTATACAGTAGACAGATGTATACAGCTATATCAGCTATATCATTATCATTTCTTGACCATGGCCCAAGGGTATCCAAGGGCGCCAATACGTGTACCGCCTGAGGGCCCACTGAATGCTCGATTGGTTGTTTGACTGATTTGAATGACTTCAATGCCCAGGCTTGTAGCTTTGGGTACCTCTGACTTCGATGAAGCCACACACCCAAAAATGAGTGATGTTCCATGGTGTTCGCCCTAACTGGCTGCCTTAAAACCGGAGGGATGCGAGCCTCGCGTCGAACGGTTGCGATGCCTCGCCCTCTTCAGGCCGGGGATCCTGAAGAGCTCCGGAGCGTCAACAGGCGAGTCCGTGAACGGACCGGTTCACGAGCGCGTGGCCAGGGCCATCGCCGGTTCGGAGATGGGCGGTGATTCGGGCCATGGGAGACAGTCTGCGTCCGGGCCCATGGTTTTACCGCCGCCCAGTTACGCTTCAGCAATATGATTTACATTGGGGTGGTTGAAAAGGCGAAATTCCAAGATGGAATGATTCGGGTATGTAGAATTTGATGGATAGATCATTGGTGTGCAGTTCCAGATCAGAGTTCTGACCCTACCCCCCCGGTGTGATTGGTTTTGGGGCTTTGCTGGCCTTCTCTAGGAGATCTAGGAGAACTCATTGATTTTGTCTGCAGATGTCCTGTGAGCAACACAGGTCTTGTGGCGGCCACAAGCCCATTCCTCGTCCATGGTCCAACTCACAAAAACCTTTGGTGTTGGCTCTAAACATGTCCTTTTTCTGTGACTGTGGATATGTTTTTCTGTTTTTAAAGATGAAGTTAGCAGAGTGTTGACTCAATGTGGTTTCATCATGATTTCAATGTTCTGAGGTTCATGGCCAGACTTACTAGGCCTGCAATGTATATTGGATTAATTTGGATTATAGTGGCAATTGATCACCATCACCCAAAGACCACCCAAAGCAGGGACCTGTTGATACAGACCTGTTTGATCCGCTGTTGGCATATTTGAAGATGAATGTGTTGAATCGCTGTTGCATCGTCGGACGCATGGTCAGCCGGTACCAGCACAAGCAGATGAGGTTTGCTGAAGTAATGCAAGTCGATTGGCAGCTGGACGTAGCCTTTGCTTAGTGGCCATTGAAAAGCAGTTGAACCGTCATTTGCAATTTTGCAATCTCAAGAAATTATACCAACCAACAAAAGCAATGATGTGTGTGCCACAAATTCATAGTCTCACAATGTCTCACTGGCTCCTTCTAGAATCTTGTAGAGACTTTGTCACGACTTAGTCGTATCACTTCTTTGTCACAACATCCACAGGCACCACCGTCCTACGCTGTGAGCCGTCTCCGCAGTGAGCAAAGTCTCTCATTGCGCAACGAAGACGAAGACGCCGCAAGTCGGATGGCGACGCCCCACGTCCGAAGTTCGCGCCGCTTCTTCGTGCTGGTCTTGGCACTCAGTTTGTGCCGATGGCCCGGG